TCTACACTTTTTCCCGTTTCTTTTGTAAATCTGTTTCACATCTGATGTTAGGCACATGGATCATTATTCGTTTTAAAACAAATCAGGAGTATATTAGACCATCGATATCGTAGTACCTGGAACCTTACAGCGTGTGTACAGTTTACTGAGCAACGGGGACCCTGGAGGGGGATCAGTGGCTGCAGTAACTGCTGTCTTTCGTTCCGTCGCAATTGGTTCCTGTTCCCCAGCATCCTTCTCATATGCTGACCAAACATCCAATGTGAAACGGGTTCTAGAAGTCATCAGTAATTAATAGTATTTGTAGGTGTCCGTAATTGTTTTATTTAGCTGTTGCCTGTTATATGTTTTTTATGTTAATGACGACAGGGTAGTCATTGTCTTTTGCTCCCTGTGGTCCCGTCCCTGTAGTGTTGTACACTTTGTAAAGTAATCAGGAAGTATAGTAGGATGTAGACGTAGGCATGTATTGTAAAACATTTTATATCATATAAAAAAAGCTCCCTCCCACTAGGCCCTCTTCACAGCACCCCTGAATAGAAAGCAATGTGAATGTAGTTTCGCACTATTAGCCCAACCATAGACATAGGAAGTATTTTAGAAGTGAGGGTGGCACTTCCATGAGCTGCAAATTGGTGCTTTATTTCTGTTTCTAAAAAGTGGGGGCCAGTCCCTACCGATACCCAACTGCTATACCTACTACAAGTTAGAATCCTAGGATATCAATCAAGCACTTTGGACTTTTCCAAAGTTCGAGAATTACATTCTTGGAAAAAACACAGTGAAGGAATTCATTTGGATGCTATGCATCCCCTATCCTATTGCTCTCTCTGGGTTTTTTGGCATTTCTATCCTCTCTGGCTTAACAAAACATTAAAAAGCGCTATATCGAAAAGTGATTTACGCAATAAACAATATCCTCTGTAGCAGGGTTGATGGACAGAAGCACGGTTCAGAGAAGCACGTGACCCTGTGACCTAGCGTCATGCTACAAGAGTTTGCGAAAAATACACCTTTTGGGAGATTAAGAATATATTATTTACCGCAAAGAAGAAAGGAATCGAGGAAGGTTCGACGCATATTTTACTCTGTCAAAAATTAGAAAGACGTTAAACTTGTCTATCCGATTCGGATGGTTTTCAAACAAATAACAAAACAACTGCAAAGAATTTAAATGGAAACTTTGATTTCTGACAGCATAGTATGTTGACAACACGAATCTTAAACTCTTCTCTCATAGCAAACCTGACAGTACATGGGGTTAACTCTGTCAGCTAAAACATGTTTACATAGTACCATTGAACCAAAAGATCATACATAACCAAGTAAAGTATTTTCATGTGAAGAGTTTACACCTTATTCAGCATGGAATTGCAACCACAAGTAACGCCTGATGGAGTGGTTGTTACAGTTTCCCATTTGAAACCACCAATGTAAGGAACCTTTGCCATAAGACTGCCTGGTTTGATGACGATAAACGATTTATATAGAAGGTGCCAAACTTTGAATTTGGGTAGCTCAGCAAGAAAGCTCGAGTCCTCTTTCATGATAAATACAGTACTTTTCAAACTTTTTAATAATTGGGAAAATGAGTATATTGGGAAAGAAACTGAGGTTAACTAGAAACTTTAAAAGAATATTTTGGATGATTTCCAATTACCAATAAGTCTCCTTAGAAATAATGTGAATATTTCAGAAGATAAAAAGATTCATATCTATTCTCTTGGAAGAAAATTTCATAAACATATTTAGACTTAGATTAAAATTATTTCAGGGCAAGATTTGAGCACAGCTACACCTTGATAACATCCCTATAAGCGTTTTCTGTGATAGACCAACTCACTAACTCAACAACCAGTGTTGGCAGAAATACATAATTTATTGTTTTTTACACTGTGGGAAAATGAACATTGCGCAGAATGAAGTTATCGTTGGTTCGCCCCTCACACACAGTTCAGACTTCTCATGTGGTCCCTTTTGAAAACAGATTAACCACATCTGGTGTAGGCAGAGCTAACAGGACGGTTCTAAATTGCTTCTCAGAGCTTCACGCTTAATGCGATCACCAGGCAACTGTTGTACAGCCTTACCTATACGAGCACAAAGACCGGTAAAACAGAAATTTTCAAATATGTCTATATCTGCCTATTTGGCAAAGGAAAGGTTAAGCCTTAGTAAAGGCCAATTACATATGGATTACCATAGAGATCCTGTCTAGGGCCATGACTTTTCACATTGTACCTTGACGCAGATGACACAGAAGTTCCAATTCCGTCAAATGAATTTGGAAACGTAATGCAAAACTTTCAGGCTGAATTAATAAGCACCCCGAGAAAACCGAGTTCAGGCTGTTTGGTGTTGGTGTAAGGAACAGGACAACTCTAAGTTGCTACTCCGAGTTTCACACTTAATGTAACAATCAGGCAACTGTATGTATATATATATATATAACGATAGAGTTGGAAGATAAGGTCAACCGTAATTGACCACAAAGGTAATCAAAAACCCGTGCGAACACCTTTTCCAGTTGGATATGGACTTCCTAAGCCAGACTACAAGGAGACTTATTAGACAACATGTCATGTGTAGATTAAAAAGTTTCCAAATCAGTGCCCAACAAAATTTGACTTTGAATCAATCCCTTCAAGACGACTCCCTCAAACTAATCAGTGTTACTTAGTAAACTTGACTAGATTCCTGGTTTAACTGTAAAACTTGACGATTCGGCAAAACCTAACGCAAGCAACAATGAATATTTATGAAGAATAATACCAGGACGTTTTACAAATTACCAAGTCATATATGCATGTTAGATATCATCATATCTTTACGTATTCCTCCAAGAGCTTAGGATTAAAGAGGCACAAGATGCCTGTCAGCAAGGCTTCTTGAGTTCTTGTGAAAGAAGGCTCGTTACTTGAAACAACTGCTAGACATATCAGGCGAGGGGAAAGGTCAGGCCATTTTTGGTTCATGGACATCAATAGTCATTTACAGAACATTTTATTTGATTAAGCATTACAAACATATCTGAGGCTTACCAACGGATAGATTTTAAATTTTGGTTACTGCCTCTAAGCCGGGGTTTATCCGATCTAAGCTTTGTGTGTACTTACAATTACAGAAAAAGATCAACATTAGAGAAGGAATTTCAATGGTTCTAAACGATTCCAGCAGATCTCACACGAAAAAGCCAGTGTGAAAAACTACTGTAAGAAGAAAACACGAGCCTGTTCTACTCAAAGTCATCAACATGCACGATAATGGCCATTGATAAACATTAACTTCCAAGTCTTGTAACACTGGATGTAATTTTCAGCAGACTTCATCAAGAGGCTCGAATTCACCGAATTGAGGCTTGAGTAATCGCTAACCATGTTTCACAAAAATTTCAAGACATTTCACGTTTGCCTTAGGTGATGAAAAGAAAGTTAAGCATCCAGAGGTGAAAGCCGATAATTTTTGGTTTGTGGTTAGAGAATGAAGCAGCATGATCTGAAGACAGCTCGCTAAATAACAAAATCTAGATCGATTGCTTCTTATCAGTATGTTATTTCAGTGGGAGCAAGAAAAATTTCACATTATGTTCACAAGGAGCATCTTGTGCAGGCAGCATCCTTGGTCAATCATTTCCTGATTGTTGGACAGCCTGTTACAAATATGACCAGAATCTCTGGCAAATGTTCCTCGCAGTAGTTTTCTTCTCAGTCAGCATTTTTGTCTTAAGAAATAAAGACAACTAACTGTAGCAAAGACATTCCGACGCTAAAAAACTTATACAGTGACGGCTTTTCAAAGCGAGGACAAAAATCCTTGAAAATACCATGCTTCGATAAATCAGATGATTTGGATGATTATTAATTAATGATGAATAACAGGGTATACCAAAAAATAAGGTGTGCGGACTGGTGCAATGTGTAACAAGAAGTTCAAGCTTTTCTATGTACAGCGTCATTCATATATAGTTTTATCAAAGCAAGTTATGTATTACATGCCCTGTGCATCCTAAATAGTTCAATTGCAATGGGTTCAATTGCAACGGTACCAGTGCCATCCAGGAAACAACCGAGTTTTGTTTTGGGTCACAATTACCTGATTCATGAGAAATCGCCTTGAGGTCATTCTTTATGGTCGCAAAACTGGTTTGTTGCTAATATGCAGACATCGACGAAATAACGAAAAACCCGCAGATTAATTATCTTTACGACGGATGAATTTAAAAAAATTTTGGTTCTGTCACTTGATCAGTTGAAAAGTAAATTCATTTCACATTAAATCATTCACAATATATTTTTTGCGGGTTCTCTCTTGACCAATAAAACAATGAGCCTTGGATCGAAATTGGGATCGCGGCAATGTAAAAGAGTTCAAAAAGACTACCCGGCTACTACAACTATAAAGGACTTCCAAAGTTGCTTTACAACGCTACAACAGTCTTTTTCTTTAAGTGGCAGAATATCGTCATCAAACTAACCTGAGCTTATTATCAAAACGCAGGGGAATAAATGCTAGAATTCTACAGTTTAAAAATTCTGAGCCCGTTACATTATTGCTCTCAGGCATATACAAACACACAACAGGGTTATTTTAAATTAAGGTTGATTAAGTATTGCAGGTGTTATTCGTATTGTTGTCAAAGTTATGACTTTTTAGCTTTTTATAGTAGCATAGAAACTCAGTACTAGAACAGTTGAACCTGGTTAAGATATCAACATAGTAGGGATTGTTGAACCTGGTTAAGTGAGAACATCTTGAATGATGATGAATGTTCTTTTTATTTTCTTGTTTTCTTTGTGTGATTTATGTTTGCTAAAAAACATCCCACTTCAATTTTCTTTCAAAATATAAAATACCTGATACAAATGCAAAAGGCCTTTATCAGAGCATTGTAAACTATTGTTTCCGGAAATTAAAACTAATGGTTTTTTTTCAAATACTTTTCATAGAATGGTCATTTTAGCATTTTGTAGATAGATTTTTTAATCACAATGTCTACTGCAACAACCAAAAGAATCTTGTTGTCTGAAATGATGGGTTACATCCCCTAGCAGAATTTACTATCCACCCTCCTAATTAAAGTCTCATTAATTGTTAGGTTTTCTGTAAGAGAATCATGAAGCACTATTTGTTAACAGTTAAATGGGTTGAAGCAGCTTCTTTGTCTGGCTACAAAAAGAAGCAACATTGACAATACAGTCCGAGCCAACTGAGGCAAAGTTTTGTGATATTTTGCTCCATTCTAACCCTTCAATTGATCCACAATGCAACTTCTTGCAAAAGAGACAGTTGAGAGAATCTAAGTCCCACATGACCAAGAAGCCATTCTGTGATGAGCATAAGACAGCATTAAGCAATGGGTTGATTGAAAGGTAGGTAAATGTGTACCAACCATGGATTTCAGATGTATTTAAAATTTGAAGCAGTTCAAATGTCTCACCATTATTTATACGCACTGTCTTATCATCTGCACATGTGGCAAGGATACATTTCTGACTCATCAATGATTTCCAATCAACTGATGTCACTGCTGATGAATGCCCAGTAATTTTTGCTATTTGATCACCTTAAACAGAAACAACATCAATGCAACAACACACTACAATGTCCATTAAGTGCATCATTATATAAAGGAAACATTTAAAAAGTTTCATACAAATACTTTTAAAAAGGGAGGTGCTCAGTTCATAGAAAAAGACTGCATATATTTATTTGGAAGATTGCCAGAATATTATAAAGATTAACTAAATGTAGTTCAAAGAGGCACTGACGAAAATTTTTCCATCTGAAGATTTCAAAGGTAATTTATGATCCACAGGTTGGGGGCTCATAGTACCTGAAAATATCTTTTGCCTTTCTGTACCCGCTGTGGAAGTAAAGTTTGGAAACTTGGGATATACATTTTTTATATCCTACTTCTTTTCTGGTCTGCTGCGATGAAATAAAGGTTTGACGCCATTTGGCAGCTTTTGATCAAGGTTTTTGCCCCACCTGGTTCAATCGGTGGTCATCATTTCTTTTATTTTGCCTGTAAGGGTAGATGGAGAACGCAAAGGACCATTGTAGTGGAAATAGAAGTAAAAAAAACGTCTCGGTATAAACAAGCAAATCTTGTTCCAGTGTTACAACATGCTTGCATCATTTCTCTCACCATGGCTTTCATAGAATCATGCCTCGATATTTCTGCCCCAGTTTTGTTTGACAAAAAATTTTGTTCTCATTAAGTATATAAATCTCTACAACTGTCTTTTATGCATTAAGGAAATCACTTAATGATTACAATTCTTTGCGTTAGTGCCTCTCCAAACACTACCAACAAATAAAAAAAGGTACTCTGCAGTTGGAATATCTTTCTTGATAGCTTTAGTCTGTTTTTAAAAATATGGCAATTGTTATTTCTATGCAACTCTAGGAAACATAACCACCAGATTGATAACTATGGAGAGTCTTTTTATTGCACTGTTATGACAACTACTTGTACCAAGAGCACAAATTGGAAAGGTATCTAAGAAACCAAATATCTTGTTTTGAAATTATCTTTACTGCTTTCAAATTTGCTTCTCAATGATGACAAAATGATGGGGAGGGGGGTTGGGGGTCAAATGCCCTTCCCTAAATTTGATATAACTAGTCACTTAAATCTTTACTTAAAGAAAATCAATTTAAACAAGCAACGCCAAAATTCCCTGTGTTTACCTCATCATTTTAAATTTTCACCTTCTTCCACTGCCTTAGAATACCTTTTTGGTTCTTAAACAATGGAACTTTCTTCATACTTTAGTAAAAAATCAACAACTACCTTTTGCAATGCTCAGAACTATTGAAGTTTGGTCCTCAGATGCCGTAACTATCATTTTGTCACTAGGATCCCAAGCAAGACTCCAAATTTCCATTGGCTGTATTCCTGTTCCATCAACAATGGTCTTGCAAGCATGCACTTTGCGATGCAGAGCCAAATCGCATGTACCACTTCTTGTGTCAAAGATAAAAAGATCTCCACCTCCTGTTCCAACAGCTAAATGATTTGATGTGTTTGCTTTCCTGAGTGTTAGTACACCAAAATCAAACACATGTGCTACATTATATACCTGTGTTCCTTCACTGTATTTAAATGGCTGCCAACAAAACAACATACCTTCTAGGGTTCCAATAAATAAATCCTCATCTATCCAGGCCAGACAGCGCACTGAATTCTTCACATTTACTCTATATTCATTATCAAAGTTTGAATGCCTCCCTAATTTATTGATAATCACATTCCCAGCAAGGTCTCCAGTTGCTAAAGTAAATTGGTCCTTAAAATTAAGACCACAGCCAGCTACTGTGTGGTCAAATAAGGAAACAGTTTTTGATAACTTTTTATTATCACTCTGTGTTGATTCAAAGAATGTGTAGTTTAATGATGTAATGCCTCCAATCCAGAGTTCTTTTTCGAGAACAGACCAATTAAGGTGCACAACTGACTCAATTTTTTCAATTTCAATTTCTTTGACCAAATCTCCGCATACACTCCACCACTGTAGCAAACCACTTTGATAAGAAGCTGTAACTAACAAATCCTTTTCCCATATACAAACTTGTGCTGAGCCTTGAGCCTGGAAAATTGATTTCAGTTCAAAATTTTCTAAATCAATAAAAACAAAAAGGCCTCGATGAAGGCCAATGGCACATGTCATTTTTCTGCACTCACTCATGCACAACATGCTAGTATTAGGCTCACCTAATGGTGATATAGTGCATTTTCTTAACAAAACACCATCGTAACTGTAAAGGTGTGCTTCACAAGGATTTCTATCATGCTTATATATAGCGACTAGTTTTTGATTATCTGTAAAGATACATCCATAATAAGTATCCATAGGGTCAGCTTTTGATGATAATGCATCTTTGATCTGCAGTCCATCCACAGATCCAGATTGCTCCAAACTGTGTGTTCCATCTTCACTGGTAGCACAGGCTTCTAAACCCTTAATACCTGAAGCTTTCACGCACCACTTTAAAACAACAGATGAACCATCGCTCTCAATCTCATATAGTCTCACAGAGGAAAAATGACCAATGTTGCAAACACAGAAATATTTGCCACAGGTTGACCAGCTGGCATAGACCACATTGTTTCCTGGGACTGCAAAGTGGCAAAGGGGTTTTAATGAGGGGCTTAGCAATATTCCATTACCACTGTAGGATATCAGCAATGCAAATTTCGTTTTCTGGCACTTATGCAGAATTGTAATCAGATCATCAACTAGCTGTTTAGCTTCCACTCTCTTCTTTTTTATTATATCCCAAATTACAAGCAACGGTCCAACAGGACAGACATAATGATACTTATTTTCATTTCCAATTGGAAATCCAGCTGTTTGCCTTAAGTTTCCAATACCCCAGGCATCATATATTTGAATGTTGTGGTCATCCGCCATTACAATTGAGAGGTAGAGCTGTATGAGAGACGAAATCAAAATAATAGCATGATTTCTTAAACAGTTTGCTTATACTTTTTAGACACAACAACAGTTTTTATAAGTCAGATAAACAATACTTTAGCATTGAATGCTTTTTTCTGTTTTTTCGCATTGAAACATCGTAATTATAAATAGATAGGTACAAACACAAACTCTCCATCCAGTGTTTATCACATGCACACCATCACTGCTGGTTAATCAGTATTGGGTGCTTATAACCTGTCTGAAAGTTGCAAGCGTGAAGCTTTCTTACCTCCCCAACAAGTGATAGTTTTCTATTCACTTCGACAAAAATTGGTAAGCCACCAGCACCACCACCACCATAAAAACCAGCACCAAGCTTCTATATAATTGACCAGTACCTATGGCACTCCATTACGAGAATGCCTCGTTTCACTGTACATTGAAATGGGGCCTTTGGCGGGTAACTGCTTACGCGCCAATTTATTTAAGATGGCGAAGAAAGATGTTGTTTATATCCACTCCGATGATTTCTTATTTACTTGCGAGCATCCTGTGAAAGTCTCTGGACGAGTATGTAAATTTCTAATTATGAATTATGGCTGCATGCATTGCTTGTTTCAATCTTCTTAAAACCAACGGCAATACGGGGCACCAACGGCATTTATTATGAAGATTAATATTTAAAGTTAGTGTCCACCAGGCCAGAGAGGAATGCTAGCTAGCAGCGATAATCGAAAATCATTTTTGTCCCAGTTGGCAGAAACAGGCTGGTAGCAGCTGAACCCCCTTCCCCTTTGTTTATAGAGTATAAAACTCCTGAACAACCCAGGGTGGAATCTATGTAAAGCTCACGCTCAAAGTAAACAGTAAAAGACAATGGGAAATCGTCATTCCACGCTAGAAATCTCCAACTTAAGCTACATGTATTCCATACTGGTGAACAATCTTACATTCCCTCCTTTCTGAACCTCCATCAATAGTGATGTCCCTTTTCATTTAGTTAGGCTTTAAAAAGAAATACATACATGCACTCATTTTAAATTTTCTTTCTATCACATTCTGTCAACAAGCTTTCTTTGCTGCCAGGATAGGGGTGACATATAGGTCCATTGAGTTAAGGTTGATGATTATGACAATGGGTTGGGAGACAAACAAACATAAATGGTGGCCATGATGTTTATTAGGAAGATTAATCAGGTGGGCTAGGTGCAATAAACAGAAAACCAACTTATGAAAGGGTGACCTGCTATTCTTTTCTGATGCCTGACAGCTGCTTTGTCATCCCATGTTCTATCTCATGCATGCATATCCCATCTTGATACACGTTTATGCATATGCAGTTTTCATCCCTGTGAGGTCATCAACCATCGAGTGTTCATTCTCTGTTCTTAATCACCTTGCGAACCAAGTCCCATAGATATCATCCTGAAGACAAAGCATCAATGCCTCTAACCATTACTTGGTTCTCCTAGCAACATTTGCAGAAATGAGAAGCACAGAAAAGGAAACTCTATGATTAACTGAAATATTTTTCCCTGCAATGTTGCTCAGTCCTTCATGACAAACAAACACAGATATCACACTATTTTTTTCATCTTAAACAACTTTCATTTTCAAAACTATTTTAATTTTAGGCCTTAATGGTGCATAGACTGATTGAAGCATACAGGATTTTGGGCAAACTAAGGTAATCATAGAACCTGTATATTTTGAAAATATTACTGATATTGATAAAAATATTTATTTTGAAAATAAATGTCAAGAATAATATATCTCCATTTATTTTGTTTGGCTATCATCCCCAATCATCGATTGGCTATAAGGTAATACTCGAATGCACAAATTTTGTTCTTGAATAAAAGTTTACTTTACCAGGAGAAATATCTTCTGCTCTTTCTTACATTCAACGGTTTTCCATGTTTTGTTCTTGGAAAATGGATGTTATATTGCTAATGAAGATATAGAAGAACTTGTCAAAAAGGCTAATGACTATGAGCATATGTGTAAGTCTGGTAATTATGGGAAGCAATAGCTCATATCTCTTCGATCTACAATCCTTTTGCCTTGCAGATAAGACTTGAGGATAGAATAAAAGCATAAAATGCATGATCAGCCTGTTGTGGACACACTTTTTAACATCTTAGATTTTATGATTGGTAGTCTGTTAAGAAGCATTTCCAAGTAATTGTCAGCTAATTGTATCAGAGCCTAAGAGAACATAACTGATATGACACTAAAATCAAACCTAGAAAAGCAATTTGCTAGAAAAATGCACTGAGAATTAGTAGCAAACACTCATATCTGTAGGATATACTAGATTCCTGGATTTCAGAAAGTTAGTTTTGGATTTTATAAAAACGTTGTATTTTGCTGTTATTTTTTGTTTATAAAGCAACTGCCCTGTCTTTTTGCAAATAGATGAAAATAGCTAGTGATCAAACCATAAACTTCCCAATTGAGCAGGAAATTGATTTGTCTTTTCAGGGTCATTACACCACAACCTGCATGCATAGATCATATAAGCCTATTTCACTCCAAGGAATATATCTCCTGTACTAAGAATATCCAAGAAATGCTTGCAGCAGGGAAATTTAGCCACGAAGAAGGGTTGGCAGAATTTGAAGAAAATTTTTCAGGCCTTGAAGACCATGGCCTAGGTAAAATATAACCATTTCAAAAGCTCTCATCTGTTACTCTAAACAAAATTTGGATTTTTCTCTTCTTTTAAATGATTATCCATATTTGTTTTATTTTTCTCTTAAATGTGTACGAATCTATAAGGAGAAGTAGATCTTCAAATAATGTATGTAGCATTTTTGTTATATAGCAAACTTGCAGTAATGTTTGATGATTGCATTAGCACCATAAATAATGTTTGCTGTTATTCAACTGATATAGTTAAGGATAATGTTCACACATTACACTTTAAAATGACAAGCATTTGAACTTGCTGCAGCGCTGCAGCATTTAAGCTTATTGCAGTTGTTTTTGGGGCTTAGAATTGAAATTAGTAAAAAATTTTGTAGTATTATTTGTAACTAAATCAGATTATGTGTTAGGAACAAGACAATGTTGGGTGGTATACAGTGAATTTCTATCCCATACAAAACAATTACTATACTTTAAGCTACAAACAACAATAAGCTACAATAATCAGCATTAACAAATTAATTAATAATGGATACAATATTGTAATAATGGGCAGGAAAAGGTAGCTTGTTCACATGCAATAGGGGAGTGGAGGATGGGAATTACGAACTCTCAAGCTGATGTATGTTTGCAAGTGAGTGTATGAGGAGACACCCTTAGTTATAACCCGAGTGAAAATACCCTTATATGGCAAAAAGATGCTGAACCCAAAAATACATGTATGCTGATAGGCTTAGAAGACTATGCATCATACCCTGACTCACTCTGACTAATGGAGGTATGAGGAACTAAGGCCCTATTGACGTAAAGGCACTATTGCTAATAGGCATGTGACTTAAGCAACCAATATTTACCATCATACCCAACACTTCTTGATTTAGACTAACATTTAAAACTAAAAGTGCACCTAAATCAGATATGTGTTAGAAACAAGACAGTGTTGGGTATGCAGTGAATTCTCATTCCATACAAAACAATTACAATGCTTTAAGCTACAAACAACAATAAGCTACAATAATCAGCATTAACAAATTAATTTAATGATTGGTACGATATTGTAACTGGAACTCCTCATGAGTTCCAGAGGTAAACCCACTTGGAAGGCCAAGGAAGTCACACAGAGATGTATAATACTGGTTGGAGACATGTAGTTTTCAAGAGGCTCGCTGGAAATAACTTGAGAAGGGTTAAATCTAAAAAACTTTGAATTTAGCTGAAGTAGTGCAATGCCATTATGCATAGGAGAGATACGGTCTGCATGAATATTGTCTAGCCTGGAACATAAACTGCAGTTATAAAAAAATAATGAATAGCGGATAACCAAAACAAATCTTGGAGCCATGTCATGACAACAGAGTTGGCAGTAGTGCCTTTGTTGATCATGGCTACCCCAGCCTGATTATCACAATGTATATTTACATGATGGCTAGCCCATTGGGAACCCCACTTTTTAGCAGCTAAATAGATAGCAAATGCCTCTTTAAAATTGATATGTAAGTATAGGAGCAACAGAAAGGGTATGCCAGTTAAATCAAAAGTCATAGACAAATTTTCACAACATAACATTAAGCACCCAAGCTCTGTTGTCAGATAGCTCTGTTTGCATGGCATCAAGTACCCTGATTTTTACCAATACACAATTATCTTTATTTATCCAATTATATCTTTCATTACAGCCTATGATTGTCAGCCATTTAAGGACATGTACAGCTACATATGCTTTGTGGCAGGTGCTGCTTTGAAATCTGCTGAAATCCTGAACAATAAGGATGCCAGTACCGTCATAAACTTTTATGGGGGCTGGCATCATGCACATAGGTACTTTTTATATTTGCTATCAGTGTCTTTGTGTGATATTGTTATCAAGGAATATCATTACCAATATGAACCTAAAACCCAATATGTTCATAAGTTAAATTTACCCTCAAAGAGGCACAAATTTGCAGAATAACACCTTATCAATGAAAAAAGTTTCTTACACAAGTGAAGGGTGAAAGAGAAACAAACACATGAAAAAGTATGGAAACTTTTCATGCTTAGGTATTTTTGTTTGACACACAGTTTAATAGCTGGATAATAACAAAAAAGGTAAGCATAAATTTATAGCCAAACACACCAATTTTCCTCCCATTTTACTTTTCATCTGCATTCCACTGAACCTTCTAGATCCAGCATTTTACTTTTTTAATACTGCCTCCTTTTCTCATGGTTACCTGTTTTGACATTTCTTTATGACATTTTGACATTTCAATGACATTTCATTATCTGACATTTATTCCCTGAGCAGTGCTAAGAAGAGTGCTAGGTGACATGTCTCTACTCTTTTATGCTATCTTCAATTTGAACTACAAAAGGCTCATTTTAATATCAGAAATTCTTTCAGCTTGTGCTGCTTACCATAGTTTTGTTTTTATAAGTGATATTTTTTTACAGGGATTCTGCGGCAGGGTTTTGTTATGTCAATGATATTGTTCTTGCCATTTTGAAATTACGGGAAAAGTATAAAAGAGTGCTATACATTGATTTGGACATTCACCATGGAGATGGTAAACTTTCATACTCTTCTGCCTGTTTGAATTTATGTGGCTAATGATATATGAAGTTTTTTGCCTAATTATCATGATTTGTTTTCAACATGCCTTAAGCATTGCTTTCGTTTGTTGTGGTTCCTTTGCTGTTCTGGTCAGACTTAAGTAGGATTTTAAATTCTCAAATTATCTCAGAATTTCCCAAACCCCTTCCTCTACAGCATTGTTGTGCTGTTGCTTGTGCAATATTTTAAAGAATTTTCAATAGCCAGTAAAAACTCAAAAAGATAGGATTTTTTATTTGATATCATTATTATTTTTGCTTATTTTGCAATACATGCCTCTAGCTCAAAAATGACCACAGACTCTCCAAAACAGTTTTTAAGGCCTCGTATTTAGAATGGTCACCAGTAATACTAAACTGTTTTATATGTAAAAATTTCAAAATATTTTCCAGGGGTTGAAGAGGCATTCTTTACAACAGACAAAGTCATGACTGTCTCTTTGCACAGGTTTGACAAGGGTTACTTTCCAGGTATTTATTCACTGCAACTATTGCAAAATCAACATGTTAAAAAAATTTCTAACCATTTAAACTGAATAAACAAAGTAATGAAAGGCTAAAGAGGGAAGGGAAAATAAAAATCCTTTGTTCCAATTGGTAGTGATGTGGTCTGCAGTTTAAAAAAAGGAAATCAAGAAAAGTTGAACAATTTTTCCAGTATAGCTTTCATATCACTAATGTTCAGCTTTTATTTCCATATCCATAATCATTTATGGTAAAATGTTTGTAACTATGTCAATTCTTGCTTGTCAACCAAATAATTTTAAAAATAAATGGTCACAAACATTTTATTATTTAGAAAATTACCTTTTTGGGTTATGATCTCTAAACCCAGTCACTTAAAAAACTCATTGCGTCAAATTGGTTTGTTATGCTCTTGACAATTTCAAAGTTGTGATGCTGTCGAGATGTACCAAGAATTATTGATAAGATTCTGTTTATGATAATGATTGTTTATATTTGATACAATGTTCATAGTGACCACCTTGGGAAGAGAGCTGGAACCCCTTTAGCCTTTCAGCAGCCTGTTTTTGGTTTACTTAATATATTGTATTGAACTTAAATTAAATATATTGCTTTCAATGAAAGTAGAATGTGCATTCAAGCCATTTTGGAGCAGCAACATATCTGCTGAGTAGTTTTAAAAAGCCAGAGAAATCAGAGTGATTCTGATTTCTCCAAATTCTGTTCCCTCTATCAGATAATTATTTTTCTACCAATCCTGAGATTGGGTCTTTCTCAGACTATATCACTGGAATACTGTGACACATAAACTGATTTTGTACATCTACTGGTATTTCACAATGTTCTTTCATTCATGTGGTCAAAGTTCCAGTGAACCCATTCAGTACATAATTATATTTTTAATTGTATTTATGATATAATTGTTTTCATATATAATTGATAGGGACTGGCAGTGTAGAAGATGTTGGCTATGGAATTGGAAAATACTACAGTGTAAATGTCCCTCTGAAGGAAGGCATTGATGATGAACAGTACTACTATATATTTACTAGGTATAACTTCTCAATACATAAAAAACTCTGTTTTCTCTCTCCCCCACTCCTAATGTTTTAGTCTGTATCTGTATAGCTGTATCAGTGATTTGATTCTTACAATCAAATCCTAGGCTGGAAAACTTGCATATGCTTGCAGCTACGCTTGACTTCTTGTGACCCAAAAATTAATTAAGTCAGATTTATTATACTATAGGCAATCAAATGCTTCCCCTCGCAGGTGGCAGCTGATAAAGTGCCATTGGTTGCAGTGACGTGTCGGCAAAATCATTAAAGTTTTCTAACCTGGATCAAATCAAGGGCAAATGAATAGGCAAGAAAAAGGAGAAAAGCTTTTAAACGCGAAACGTAAATATGAAACAAAGAAAAATCATCCTAGAAACTTCTGACAGCATTTCCAGCATTGGTTATAAACCCTCTCAAATCCTTCGTCTCCTCGTCCGTAATAAGGGTCTCCTACTTGGTCGGTACTTGCATCGTCATCAAAGCTGCCTAGCAGTCTAATCGTCGCCTTCCCTTTCTTGCTTCTGTTCGCCAATCTATTTACATCTTCCAAGTTGTCATCGTCCATTACTAGAATGTAATCAAATTGTTCAAAATCCCTCACATTAATCTGCCTTGCAACATGCTGGTATCCCATGACATTATGCCGTTTTAAAGTTTTCATCGTTCTAGGATCTGGACCACCTCCAACGTGGTAATTACCCGTTCCTGCGCTGTCAACATCCCACTCATCTGCGACCCCTTTTTCTTTTATTTGCTCTCTAAATATGGCCTCTGCCATAGGAGAACGACATATGTTACCCAAACAAACAAATAATACAGATTTCTTCTTGCTCATGATGCTAAAAAGATTTGTCCTGTTCCGAAAGATCGTCCTCTTACAGTAGGCCCTTTTTATAAAGTTGTTGTTGTTGTAAAACGATGATCGTCCTGGGGGATAGACCTTCCTTGGTATCCGTTTCCTTCGCAGCAGCCTTTAATTAATACTTGTTAATCTTATCTCTATTTATTTAGCGCCCAAAGAACTTAAGCTTTCTCTGCATTGTGCCATTTTTAAAATGGTAAGGGGGAATAAATTCCTTAAAAGACACTCTTGATATTGTTCCAAACATATTTTTTCGTTTTCTCTAATATCCAACAATCTCATGTAGCACTTAAACTCAAAAGCCACGATCTTTGTTATTAATCGGATCTTGTATTTTAGAAGGAGTTTTCTCGCTTTCCGGATTTTCTCCAGTTTAGCCAATGCGAAGGTTGCCGAGCCTGTTCTTCTTCTTATTTCTATCTCACTATTTGTATCCGCCGTGATGGTAGCCCCCAAGTATTTGAATTCGTTAACATGTTACATGTCTTGTCCGTTCTGTTGTACTTTCAGATGTTTATTAATGCCCTTTCCTGAGTGAGTTATGACGTAACTCTTCTCTGCACTTATTTCCATGCCATATCTCTTGATGTTGTACTGTACCGTACACGGTTTTTATAAGGAATCTACACGTAGAGGGTGGAAGAAATGAAAGAGCCGTTAGTACTGAAGACCAAATCTCTAAGAAACTTTTCAATTACGTTTCAGTTAAAATAACGAAAATTGTGTGTTAGGAGGGTAGCTATCGAGAGTTTCATTGTGTAATTTCAAGGGTTTCATTTCCTTCTTGATGGAGTTTCCATTTTTTCGCATATCAAACGTCATTCTAGTCTTCTTTCTGTTTTTCACCTTGTTTTCTAGCTACAACTAAAATTCTAGCGATACTTGAACTTTTCATGAAAATCCGACAGATGTCTTTAAGCGACACGAAACTCAATACTTTTCTAGAATAAATGGTGCAGTAGGAAAGTAAGTCAGACTGAATCTGTGATGTTTTAGCGGGACAGGTGACAAGGTCACAACGAGTGCAAACGATTACGAAAAAGTCGAAACTTTGAATTGTCACTTATTATTATTGATATGTAGCCAAACGAAGCTTCCCATTTGTTTATTAACGTGTTGCCAGCAGATCTGTTTTTTAATGGGAAGCTAAAGTAAGAATTTTGAGAACTGTAAAGTCATTTATCTAGTCTGAGTTCTTGTAGTAACATATTATCTGTACTGAGTAAATAACATACCCAATCTGTCTTTGAATTGGCTCTCTTAATTTAATTTTTTAGCTTTTCTTATGTGGCTCAGTTGTCTTGACATTCTGCCTTAGAAGCCATGTTTCCGTGAATTTACCGACAACGTGAGGATTGTGTGTATATAAATTTTATTTGAAGATAACTTAATCATATTTCCCGCCGGATTATTTCTATATTCCTTTGCCTACATTCTTATAAACGTTTTCAAATTATTTTCAGTAGCATACTCAATCGCCATATTGCAATTTTCTTTCCGCCATAGTTTGACTTGTCTGAAATGGCATTTTCCTAACGACTCCTAATTTGTGCACTTTTTTACACAATTTCAACTAAAGTTTACTGACATTCAAGCTAACTTGTTATCCATATTCCAAAGAATTTTAAGAATTTGTCTAAGCCCACATTCACAATTTGTTTAAGCACGAAATCTTCTTGCCCATATTCACAGGGTTATGCACAAGGTGAAAGAGGTGTTTGACCCTGATGTCGTTGTGTGCCAGTGTGGCGCTGACTGCTTGTCCGGAGACCCACTTGGTGGTTTCAACCTCACCAACAAAGGCTTGACACAAAGTGTGAAATACATAGCCAACTGGAATTTGCCTCTACTCATTCTTGGAGGGGGTAAGCAACCGGTATTTTTAGATTGTTTGACAATGCCCTTCAAATTTTTTAACTACCCTTGATTTCTTGTCACGGTTTATTTTACCAACTCGATCCACCCCAACCCCGAGACTGGACGCTCCACCCCGACCCAGACAAAACCCCCCACCCTAACCCCAATTCTTTTTCCGTTTACTCCCAAGGTTATTACAGTTTTTACAATACCATCTTTTCAGCGAACTGACTGAGCTCTTTTTGTGGTGAGGAGTATGATGAGTCATATACAAGCAACAGGTTTTTTGAAGATTGACTATCTGCAGGCTCGTGCTCTGGTCGGTGTGCTGGCTTGTATCAAAATAACCTACTTCTTGTTGTGAAATGTGCCAGCTTCAAGTTCAAGCTCATTAAATGTTCTAACCAAAAACGCACTTGAGCCCAATGGATTCCAATTTCAATAACACCTTGTGTTAACATTTGTTACGACCTACTCGACCGCATATTTTTTTAATAAAATCTCATTTTGCCCAGTGTACCGAATACATACATCTCTTACCCTTTCGTCCTTTATCGATTTATATTTGTTTTCGGGCATTGTTCATCAATTTAATATTCGGTAACGTCAGTGTTCAGTTGAAAAGCTGCCCAGCCATCTTAAAGGAAATTTATAACTTCTTTAAAATTTAATTGATATTTGTAAACCATTGTATGTTTTATTAATTGTTGATACACAGCGTGATGATATTAGAAAAAGCATCATGAATTGTGATTTATTTACAGTTTTACAAGCCATACTGGCACCAATAGACAAAGAAACGTATGAATCGTGACAAATAGATCTACAGATTAACATTTATTGAATTGAGTTAATGTCGTTAAATACCGTGTCTATCAATCCATTTAATAGTCTTTTTCTTCCTTTTACCGACTGTAAAAGTAGTGGCTCTCTTTCCATATCAACATCGATATGTTATCGACGCGCCGATAGTCTAATGTTGTCATGCATTGTAACAGAAATTACTGTTATGCATCATATGTCAGTACACATTTGAAAAGACAAATATGTCTTCGTGACAAATCCAGTGAAAAGCAGCTCACCTGATCAATCAATGAAATCTCCCCAACCTCTTCCTCATCAGCGTCCCGTGCCTGCCCTATCCATCTTCTACAGATGCTACAACGAACATTGTTCCCAGGAGATATTATTTCTGACCCCCTGAGACCTCGTCAGGAACACTAGAAACTTTTCCCGTGCCCACCTTTTACAACTCTTTTTACCAAAGTCATATCCCACAGACTCTCTCCCATAACTCGTATTTCTCTCCCAGACCTTGAAAACTTTAGAACGCTTTACTTTCTTCTGGCTTTCGAGATTTTACAACCTGTTGTTTTAAACTTAAATCAACACAAAATTGATCTCAATCTTCCTTTCTTCTTAGCTTCTCCATTATTCTTCTTGTTTAGGCGTTGTTATAGTCCCCACGGACTATTCCTTAACACAATCAACTCTAGAAGAGGAGCTTGGAACTTTCCTTTGTTCCCCTACTTATCATCCTGCTTATAGAAATGTGTTTTCTCTATTTGAAGCGAAACTTCTTCAACCGGTCGACATAAACTTGTTTTTGCTCCATCCAGGCGGCTACAATTTCGCAAACACTGCACGGACTTGGGCTTATCTGACTGCAAGCATTTTGGATGAAGAAATTTGCAGAGACATTCCGGAGCATGAGGTGGGTAGTTAAAGAAGGTCATCGCTTGAAGAATACTAAAAGGAAACGTTTAAAATCATACAAATATTGTTTGCAGCCTTCCTCCCAGGATAATAAAAAACGATGAAGGGTGTATCAAAAACTTCAGGGTGGAGAGAAAGCCAAGAAATTTAGGAAAAGCAGTAGCCCTTGAAGAATTTCTCATTTTGCTCTAGCACTGCCCTTATCCAGGGTACATGGATAAAAGATTTGTGGAAGAAAGTAGACCGAATGCCTAACTTGATAGAAAGTAAAACTGAGCCCTAAAAGCAATACTGCTAGCTGCGTATTGGAAATATCGAGCTAATATATTAGGCTGCATTTTAAGAGCAACCATGTTATCTTGTTTTGCCATTAGGGTTGCTGACAGCCCGAAAAGGTGTGACTGTCGCCGCTAAATTGGTTTTCTCTTTTAGATGTATGCAGAGTACTCGCCACTCTTTGACATCAACATCACCCCATCAGTAAGGCGAAGCTGCAACTCAGAAGAGTACATCGATGGAATTATAGAGTCGGTCTCAGGTAACAGATATTTTTTCTGATTACTGCCTTTCTGAGATTCAATTTTACTGCTTTTTCTTCTTAGAAACTAAATCACAGACTGTCATTGCAAAGAAGACCGAATACAATGTCTATGTTTTGTGGTTTTTATTTTATAACTTTATTACACCAGAGGTTAACGTTATTTTTTTCCAATTAATATAATCATAATTCATATCGCTTCCATTTGGCAACCATTGCAGCAGTTGATAGTCACAGTTCATAGAGTTATTCCCTTCATATCATCTTCTACGTAGATAACTTAAGCAATATTCCAAAGAGAAATCCTTTGAAGATGATACAGCATGAACGTAATGAGGTAAGTTCAGAAAGAGAGGCTAAAGCAAAGACTTCTGGTCTGAAGGTTCTACTCACTACGGGGGCTGCCAAGCGTCAGTGGAGAGGCAAACGTCAATTTATCGATGAAAATAAACTATATATAGTGGAACAGTGCTCTGGTAAATCAGATAAAGACTGCAACAACAGTAAAATGCCGGCGGGACAGATTTCTAGTATCGTAAGCAATGCCCATGGCCTGGTTGGCCAAATGTCAGAATCAACCGATGTTATTACTGTAAAGCGCCAAAAATATACTCTTGTTGATAGTCTTTTTGAGTTTGATGAATATACATAAATTTTTCTACGTTAAAAATATAGTTATAACTCATTACGGATTGCCCCAAATGTTTTAAGATAAATTTTGCTCTGTTCCAGGAGCATTTTCGTTTATGCAGAGCACATTTTAGGAAACTTGCCGTAGACTAGCTTTTCATGGATTCTCAACGAATATAGGTCTAGCTTTTCAGGGCTAATACTTTTCATCGTGTAAATAAATACAACTCAACCGAAGGCTGCTGCATCCTTGGACTACAGAATCACCCAACCATTTTAACATCAAAAGGCTTTACTTGTTTTAAAGGAGATTAGGTTTAAAGAATAAGAACAGAATTTTCACAAGAAAATATGTTTTGCTAAGGAACATCTCGCTGATAGCCTTTGTGAAGCTTGTTACCTACAGAAATATTTATTTATTGCAAAACTTGGCAGGATAATATTTTTCTTGGCATGGAATTGTGCTTTCACAAGCGTTAAAATTATCGCACATTTTTTGAATGCTTTAAGCGAACAATGGAAAGAAATGTAATTCGATCAAGTATAGGTCAAGCAGAAAAGCACTTGTTTTCTTTTTGCTGTTCGACAGCCTTTCTTTCATTTGTATCATTCGAAAATAAATGATTTTTATTAACATGGTTTAGTTTACTTGCTCCTTTGGCATATTGATAAGTTTGAACAAGTTCCTCTGCGATAGAAGTTTTGTTTGAAATTCTTTGTGGCTTTCTAGATCTCAGACAGCACAATTCATACCTGGTGAGACACGTTTTCAAAATATTGAATATAAAAGGAGCGAATATCGAGCCTTGGGAAACCTAATCGACTACATCAGATCAAATCACTTGTCCACGGTAACTGCCTATCTCAGAAAAGCCACGATATAACGTTTGCATTTCGGTTATATTCAAAAACTGGATTAAGGCGTCACAGACAGGAATTCTGACTGAAGAATTTAAAATTTCTGTAGGATAACTAGATTGTAATATTTATCCAATCCGACAAGCTTACATTGAATGTTAACAGTTTTCACTCGGGGACATACTTCAGAAGTCCATACAAAATGTAGATAACTAGCAACTGGAAAAATGTTAATATTGAAAATTTTGAAAAAGATACCTTTCAAAACATTTTTAATTAGACTTACGGCTAATTTTGTATGTAAAAATTTAGAATAAAGAAAAAATGTCACGAAATGAAGTAAAGACAGCGAAGGCTAGTAGATATATAAAACAACGGGCTACATAATCTGAGTATGATTTGCAACAGCCAGTCTCCACAACTACTGCTGACGTAAAAGTATACGAATTTTAAACAGGTTCTGCACAATTATCTTAAAAATAAAGTTATTTACATCGATTTCTACGGAACTATTAACAGACTATAATACCTTGCATAACAAAATATGATACATATTGAGTCAGAGAAAACGAAATGGCATTTGATTTGTAAGCCATCCTTATTGATAAAGACATCGTTTCTGTAGTGAACTCAAAATACTAAAACAGCAAGTGATTTTCAAACAGGAGGCTTAGCAGCTTGGCAAAATTGCCAATGATTATGAGACATATGGCTACAAAGGCATTGTCTTTTGCACTGTGGCTGACTCCAGTACAACACTGGGACCCCCCTTCGTCTCTTATCCCCAACGTGAAAGACTCAGCAATTTAACTTGCAAACGTGACTCGAAATTCACAGGCATGAAACACTTGAACATTCCATTTGTTAGCATTCTAATTTTGATCAACCTTATAACGAAGGTGTAAGACTTGGTGCAGGCTTCCATTTGGAGAGTTTTGCTACTTCCATCTTTTCCTCTTCGATTATTCGCGCTTTGTGTTTGTCCATGTAAGGACGTCTAGGTGCAGAAAAATACAATCATCTCAGAAACCTTTAAATAATACTTAATAGATAAAACCCCATTAGGTTATCTAGTGGCTGACTTGCCTAGTGGCTGAATTAGGCTAAAATTTAGGCATGTCTGATACGATCCCCACAACCCCACTAAATTTTGTCTCTGGCGTTGCATGAGCTTCTAAGTGTCCTGATACTATGCTGCGATCCGCAACACCCGACTAACTTAATGCATTCATCCACTAAATTCTAAATATACTATGTATCGCTCTTGTAGAAGAATAATTTAGAAAAATGAATAATATCACGGAATAATACGACGGGTTTAACGGATATTCCAGAAACTTCTAGGATTTTTAATACGGTATTAGCAACAAAGAAAAGACCCAAAGCAACAACGATCGTGTATGTGATTAATAATCAACAAACCTTGGCTTTGCTTGAAGCGGTTGTAGAGGAATGAAGGTGTCTGACACCAGCTTAGACGAGCGACTGCAAATAGAAATTGACAGATTAATATCAAACATCACACAGGACTATTTTTCTTATGGGAATTTCTATCACCCCCTCGAAAAATTAAAAAAGTCTTTTGTTTCCCATTAACAGTCTCGTTTTTCTTATTTTTTTTTCGAACAATGATGCCCCTCCACAAAGAGAGAGAGAAAAGACGGAAAAAAAAAAGGAAAAGGGAAAAAGAAAAATAAAAAGGAGAAAGAATGAGAGAAAAGCGGGAAAACACGGGAAAAGGAGGAAGAAAAGGAAAAAAGAGCTAGAGATGGAGAAAGAAAAGGCAGGAAAGAGAAGAGTAAAAACAAGGAAAAGGGAGAAAGAGAGAAAGAAAAGGCGGAAAAAACAGAAGGGAAACAAGGAAGGAAGGAAAGAAAAATAAAGAAAGAGGGAAGAAAAAGGCGGAAAAACAGAAGGGAAACAAGGAAGGAAGGGAAGAAAAATAAACAAAAAAAAGAGAAGGTAAAGGCGGAAAAACAGAAGGGAAACACGGAAGAAAGGAAAGAAAAATAAAGAGGAACAAGGGGGAAAACAGAACGGAAACAAAGAAGGAAGGAAGAGAAAAAAAAAGAAAGAGAGAGGGAGAACCAGAAAAAACAGATGGGAAATAGAAGGGAGACAAGGAAGGAAGGAAAGAAAAATAAAGAAAGAGGGAAGAAAAGGCGGAAAAACAGAAGGAAACAAGAAAGGAAGGAAGAAAAATAAAGAAAGAGATAGGAACAAGGGGGAAAAACAGAAGGGAAACAAGGAAGGAAGGGAAGAAAAATAAACAAAAAAAAGGGAAGGAAAAGGCGGAAAAACAGAAGGGAAACAAGGAAGAAAGGAAAGAAAAATAAAGAAAGAGATAGGGACAAGGGGGAAAAACAGAAGGGAAACAAGGAAGGAAGGGAAGAAAAATAAACAAAAAAAGAGGAGGAAGAGAGACACAAAAGAAGCGGGAAAAAGAAGGGAAAAGGTCGGAAGGAAAGGAAAGGGAGAGTATTTGAAGACTTAAAAGCAAAGAACCAAATTTTTTCAAAATCGGATAACCATAAAAAATCCCCACCACCTTAAATATACTAAAAATCTCTGTATCCTTTTTCGGCTTATCTGTGAACAATTGGCTATTCTGGAGTGCAAAGTGATAACGTCAGAAACCTTAATCACAAACTTTCCGCGAAACGTTTTTGCACAAATAATTTTGTACATCGAGGTAGGTACGAAAACATCACTGGGAAGTGGAAAGGCCAAAGCGTAATTAAATGCAATAGAAGAGAAGCTATGGAAGGGAAAGACGAGTGTAAAAGGAAAGAAAGGGCAATATTTAGAAACGGTTTTTATATTTCCTTATATTGTGAACGACACTAGATGCAAAAATATCATTTGCATTGTATAAATTCAAAACTGTCCCAACTCATATTTATTGAATAACTTGCTGACGTTACCGGTTAATGAAAAGTTAAAAAAACAAGGAAAATATTTTTAGGGCGAAAAACTGTGATTTAACCTGAATGATTCGGCTAGACTTGGAAGGCCTTTAGAGTAAGTCCTAAACAGAGAGTGCTGCTGAATAAGACAGTAATGATGAAAAAACTACAATGCCCGCCAAAAGTAGTTGGAACACCGAGATTGTACTCGTAATAAATGTATATTTTTCAGTTCATTTCCCTTTTTCAAGCAGACGGAACCCCCTCCCCCCCTTATACAATGTTGTGAAGAAGGATGAACATGTCGCTAAACATGTGTTACAAAATTTGCGCGCTAGCATACATTTGTTGTCATTTTCCAGTCGCAATCCAACATTGTATATGGGGGGAGGGGAGACGTTTAGTAGGAAAGATGATTGAACTGTTCCAACACTTTTGGCGGGCATTGTCTTTTTGCATTCTTTTTGTGTATGAAAGACTGACATGTTAAAGATGACAATTGTAGGGTTTTGGGGGGTGAGCATTCCAATGGAATTAAAATCGAAGGTGTATGGCTAACGTGTGACGTCATAATTGGTATATTTTAAATGTTCCGTCTTGTTTTCCCGGCAATTACTGTTTATTGTTGATTTTCCTATCCATTCAAGCTAATGTTTTGGCTTCCTGAAAGTCTTTTGAACAACCGAATAGTTAAGACTTGCAAAAACTGTAACTAAACTTACAATAGTAGACTAAAGTAGCTTATCAGCTCGTTTGAAACAATATGATTAAAAAACTGGCTTTCAATTTTAAGTTGAAATGATAACTAGGGCCTAGCAGGCAGATGTCTAAAAATAACTTTTCTATACCTAGAATTCCATCTCTATCTCTATCTCGCACTGGAGGAGAACTCACCTGAAATTGATGGCTGGCAGAGTTGATCCTACTTTGTGAAAATTGTAGGAATACTCGGGGACAGCATAGCTTTTGTCACCATCCGTCATCATTGGCAAACCTGCTCTTTGGTTCATTCCTTGAAAGCAAGAGACAATTATATGAACATCGATAAAAACCATCTTTGATTAGCTGATCCAATTGGATATTCTTAAGACATTTGCTAAGGACTTAAGATATTGCCCAACAGCGTCCTAGAAAATTTTCCGGCTTTGAAATTGAATAATTAAACATGCCTTCTAAGTGGTTATCAACGTAGCAATAGATCCCATGATTCCATGAAAAAGAACCAGCAGCTTAGTAATGAGACTGCTCTAACTCTGTACGATGTTTCACATAATCTTATTTTTAAAGAAATATTCTACATCAAGAATATACTCAAAATTGTAGACTGTGTATAGCAGGCAAGAACACCGTAAAAGGGATACCTTTGCGAGTCCTGCCAATCACGTCAGTGAGCGTAACTTCTCTCGTAGTCTGGCTGTTCCCAATGTGCTGACCTTCGATAGTACAACGCTTTCCATAATTGTACCCCTCCGGATAAAATGTCCACTCTTCGTATGATTGCAGTGTCATTCCTCAATGTAAAAAAATTCATCTCAATTCAAGAGCCATTGTGATGCAAGGGATTCGCCTTTCATGCATTATATCATATATCTTTGCAAGAAAAAACTGTAATAGACAAGTAGTGCTTTAACAGACATACAGAAAACTTTGCTTAGATTTCTTTTTTTTCATATTCTACAGCTGAATGGGTCCCCTTCTAAAGCGCTCAACTGGGATTGTTATTTCTTGTTTTTGGCTCATTTTGCCCATCGTTTTTATCGAAATTCTTGCACCTTTCAACATCATTTTTAGGTTCAAGATAAATTGAGCAAATATTGATACTGTTGTTTTGCTTATACTTGGTTTAATAATTCAATGCTACAATGTGTTTTTGATGTTTTCCCCTTATTGTTTCAAAGTATATGAAAACTTTTTTAAGCCTTCTGCCTTTAACAATGATTATCCATTGGCAAAAATAAAAAGATACTTGAACTTTGGAATACATTTGTCAATCAACTACGAAAAAATTGTTAGCAGGTACGCCATTACTTGCATCAAATAAAGAACTGCATTGAAGTCAGTCAGGGGCAAACAAATTGGGGGCAAGCCTATTGTTTTAATAAGATGATCAGGGACAGACTTAGCGGGGGGTGCAGGGGTGCGACACCCCCCCCCCAATATTTCTGTCTCCTTCGGTAAATTTAGTTCCATTCGGTAAAAACAATTTTTTGGTAGTCAGCAGTAACAAATTAACGCCAAGATTTTACTTTATTTATCTCCTTAATATCAGTATTTATCTTCTTATCAGTAGCGTAGCGGGGGGAGGCAAGGGGAGCGGCCGCCCAGAAAGTCGGTGTCTGAGAAAAGTGCAAATTTGCAATAGAATTAGTACCTTAAAGGTGGACTTTATATTTCGGACAATCAAGGAAATAGGCAGTTGTAGAATGGGGTCAGCTACAAGAAGCCAGATATGACGTTGTATAAAGCGAAATTGCCAAGTAAAAAAGCCATAGCTCTTCCAAATGCTTTTGCAAAGTGGGGTGTTTTCCTAAATTCTTAAGGGTGTGGTTAGCAAAAATTTTCTCCTCTTTGCCCCTCCAATCTTCCAAACCTGGCTACGCCACTGTTTCTTATCGTCTTTACCTTAAAAATGGGCGTTTCCATAATTTACCAGTGACCTGAAGGGTGTGGCACCAAAATTGGTGTCTAACACCCCCCAATCATTGTTGTTTAGATCTGCCCCTGAAGATGATGTTACATTTCCCATTGTTTGAGAACAAAAGATCATTGTCCTCTAAAGTATTGGAGGCAGTCGCCCTCGCCCCCCAAATGTCCGCCACTAAAGTCAGTACCTGGAAAGTGTCTCCTTCCGGTTTTCTTCGTTGGTTTGTAATAGTCATTTTCATTTGGCAGTGGTCTGAAATAAATTAAAACAAGTTAGATGGATATACTGCATATACATGTATCTGTATGTTACATATGTATGTTACATGAGACCCAAGCATTGTCTGGCTGGATAGTTAAGAAGCAGTTTCAGTCAAGGGACCTTTGAAATCATATGCAGGTTTCAAAAGACTTACAGAAAATAGCTTTTGTAAGATGAAGTACCTGAAAAGACCAGGGCCACAGAAATAAGTAAAAAAGCAAATCACACAGTTCTAAAAGGGTTCCTAGAAAGTAGTTTATAATAGTAAGATAGCAGTGTAAAGAAAACACAATTTGTATCTGAACATAACAAGAAAAAGTAATTGAGAACAATACAAATTCTAATTGAGAACAATACAAAACAGAACAATATAATACAAAGTTGATATATATCTGTGCAAGCGTGAGAGTCACAAGACCAGAACTACGCAATAGGTATAATATAACAGAACAATGGTAAACAGCATGATTAGCGATAAGTATATAGCGGTGATCATAATGGATAATAACAAGTTCTTAACATATAGGAATGAAGATGCTTGCTAAACCTAGTTGTTAGACGTACGTTAGATCAGTATTGTTTTCATTCAGCTCAAACTTTGCCACATCCACTGCTTCAGTCGATCCCATTGCTATTTCTGCAAATATAAACAAGAAATAATCTAATATGCACAAGTTATCTGTTTTTGTTTTCTTTTTCATGTTTACCCTCATTATTATGGGAATATGGGTGTGTGAGTGAATCTATTTCAAGCTGATGGTATGTCAGGGTGACTGCAATGCTACTATCATTGCTTTATGGAAAACATTTCAAGGTGGAACTGCCATATATGCACTAATCAGAATTTCCACAAATGCATTTAGGTGAGTGAAATTTTGAACATTGATGTCTCTATAACATATTGCAGACAACTCATTTTACCTATCTAATCATATTTCTAACAGTTGGAAAAACATTGTACAGAGACCTGGGTATTTTGAATGTTATCATAAGTTGAAAATTTGAACTTGCACAGTTGAGTTCATTTCATCTAAGGATTCCACAACACATGCTGGATATAAAGATAAAATTTGCTTAATAGAAACAGCACACAATTATAAAGATATGAATTAGGAAAATGATGACCAAAAATCTGATGTATTAGATACAATGAAATGTTGCTTATTCCTTGAGCATGTGTTCCAGTATAGTTTGTTAGAAGTTTTCAGATTGGTAGTTAGTAGAGAATAATAAGTGATTTCACTGAACTATACAAAAGAAACCTTTTGATAAGATATGCAATTCCCAGGCTGCATATTCCAAAGTGCTTTTTATGTCAGCAAAATCTCCCTTTTACGTGCTTGCCTGGTATTGATGGGCTTGTCAAAGTAGAGCACAGACAATTTCAAAGCAAGGAGCGAAATGACATTGGAGCCAGGGGGCTGGTATGCCTCATTTTATATCAACAGGCATGCCTCACGTTTTTGCTGAGTATGATACCAATTTTGTGGCATCACGGATAATGCTGGGAAAACGACGATAAAAGTTTACTTATTTGCCTAGAGCTCCCTAATCCCCCAAAGGTGTTCCAACGTCCTTGACAGATTCAAAGAAAAATATCAAAAAAAGCTCATGCAGGTCGAGTGTGAAACAAATAGGGTTGATGGAGCAAAACCTTGTTCATTTTTTTCTCGAAGAATTAATAATTGTTTGATCTAGGTATCGAACCAATTACAATTCCGTATTGTTTAGACGAAGAAAACAGAGAGTACTCATTTTGAACAGCTAAAGATAAATTTGTGTCAAATACTTACTTACATTCGCAAAAAGCCTTTCGGGCACAAATGAAAACCAAGAACCCTACATATTGCTTCTTGATAGCAGATGAACAGGAAAGATCAAGAAGCAAATACTTGTTGTCATGGCAATTCTTCAAAACGAGGCTAATAGCAATCATTTGCCCGCGCAGGACGTGATTTTGATTTTGAGTCAGGGCTTATTCTAACTTGTAGTGAGTGATCGTCAATTTGTGCAGTAATAAACATAATTCTGCATTGATAAAATCTTAACAGTGGCATATAGAAAAAAATATTCAGATGTCATGCGCACGGTCATAATTACAAGTAACAAACAAACAGTAAATAGTAAATAGTTTAAACAAGAGGGTTCCCGGTAATTCCCCTGATCCCAAAAATCCCACTACGCTTCAAGTCCGATTCCCGATTCCCGACCATCAATTCCTTAATCCCGCTCACAAAATTTGCCAGTTCCTGACTCCCAACTCTCAAAATTGATGCTTTCCGCTTCCCATATTGGGTACTATCTTTAAAAGTTTTGCTGAACCAGCACTTTTTTATTTTCTTCTTGCGGAACATTTTGGCTTTCGAAAACTTTTAGGAACGAAGACTGCTTGTCAGCTTTTGGGGTATCTCGGATTTGGCGTATTCTATCTGTATGAAGCGGTGAACGCCGATACAGTCATACTCAACTTGATGTGCCAATTGCAAGGTGGCCAAGTCTTGGCCGTGAGACTCACGGATAATCACGGGGATATTCACCTCTTCTCACAGTCTCACGACGGGAGTTACTTTTCTCACGGATTTCTTCCTGGGACTCATTCTTCTTTCAATTTAGATCATACGCCTCAGTGGTTGTATATTCTTACGTTTAAAAGCCGCTTTGATGTTCTGGAATGTTTCAATTGTGAAATAAACAAATGTTTAGGCATTCTGAATGATCTAGTTTTAAGCCATTTGAGCACTCCAAATCTACTGAAATTCGGAATTCTTCTGCCCCCAACCCTGGACCCCTGTTCCAGTGTTCCCTAGCTGAGCTCATAAAATCTCACAGGTATTATTTTCAGGGGCGGTCTGATCCGGGTGGCAAAGTGGCGATCGCCACCAGGGCCCTGTGTAAAAAAATCTACGGGCCCTTCCCGCGTTGGAGAATATTTTTTAACTTAATGTCAAAGACTTAATGCCCTAGAATGATTACTTTGTGATCAAAGTCCCAATACAAGTCCTTAAAACCAACCAAACCCTGGTTTCCGATATTTCAGCCATGTGTTCAATCTGACCTGTACCCTGGGTACCAGAGCCACAAAATTTCGAGCGCGTAAACCATAAATAAAAGTATTTACATACAAAAAAACAAAGCAAACATTAAAACTGGTCTACCAGGAGGTCATGATTGGGGATAACTTATTTCTATATTGATTTTCCATTATTGGTCCAAGAGGTAGGTTTTCATTTTTTGTTTGAAAAGGTGAGTAGATTCCATATTTCTTATGTTGTTTGGGATATCATTCCAGACCTTTGCACCGACATACGAAAAACTCATTTTAAGTTTTCCAAACGTGGTGTAGGTATTTGCAGATAGTTTATTCTACAAGTTTCAGATTTTGAGATCTGACCTTTCCTCGTAAACATTCCCTTAAGATTTTCTGGGCACATTTCCTTAAGAGCCTTGTGTACCATTATGGCTTGGTCATATGTGATAACCTTCTCAACGTTTAGTCGTGCGGATTGTATCTGACACCTAATAGAACCGGATTCAATAAGGTAAAATGCCCTATCCTGGATCTTCTGCAATGAGCAGAGTTTCTTTTCAGGCAAATGGCCCCACATCAAGTTTCCATATCTCAGGTGGCTTCCACTAGTGCTTGGTATACAAGAAACAATTGTGATTGTGGTAGTTTTTCTCGCATGCACCGGCGTAGGAAAAACATTTCCAAACATTTCCACATTTAAACATTTCCAAACGTAGTGTAGGTATTTGCAGATCGTTTATTCTACGAGTTTCCTATTTCGAGATTTAATTTCTCCTCGTAAACTTCCTATTAAGATTTTCTGGGCACATTTCCTTATGAATCTTGGGTACCTTTATGGATATGTGATAAACTTCTCAACGTTTAGACGTGCGGATTGTACCTGATCCCTAATAGGTGCGGATTCAATGAGGTAAAATGTCCTATTCTGTATCTTCTGCAATGAGCAGAGTTTCTTTTCAAGCAAATGGCCCCATATCAAGTTTTAATTTTCATATCTTTGTATGTATTTCCATATATAAAGCAAAAATTGGTTTCGAATAGCTGCCTTCAGTAAGATTGACAGCTCACTGAAGAAGTTTGCCACTAACTTCTTGGGTCTATCACTTCTTCACACTGGCAACTTGCTGAAGGTGAAAATCAAAAATTGAAATCAAACCTAAATTTCACTCCAAATTCTCTATAAATTCTAAAGAGATATTCTAATTTATAAACTGTAAAGAGATTTTGAAGAGTTCAAGGTCTGCCTGTTGTGTCCAAATATCTATTAGTCACAACGCCTCAGCAAAGGCAGTGACAACATTGGCCCATCATTTCTGCTTGGTGGAACCATACGTGCAAAGTGTACGATCCTTATCTTTGGCTCTCCTCCCAATCCAGACAGTTATCTCTCGTGTAGTTAATTTGCTGTTTGAAATACTCAACCTTATCACTGACAACGAAATGATAAACTGCAACTGCGTTTTAACATTTTCCTTTCCATTCTGCCGATGTCACATTTGTCTACCTTTGTTACAGGAAAGCAAAACATCGAAGTGGGAAACACTAAGAAAATTGGAAGTCAGTAGGCTCATTTCGGGGCCCAAAATATTAAACCGAATCGAGCAAGACCAAATGAAAGTGCTTATTCTATTTGCCAGTTATTTATGAATGGCTTTGGTAAAAGCAAACATTTTGAAATATGTTACTAAAGCTTTTCGTCTGACACTCTTGAGAGTATAAAAGGTCGGAACATAGATCTACGCTAGGAAATATATCTACCCAGTTGTGGATCGAAATAGGCCAATCAGAAAGGCGGGCACATTATTGTTGAGGTTATCTATGTCATTTTCAAGGAGGGCATTTTATTTAGCATGCTCTCAGTAAATTGAATGGGACTTTGTAGAGGGGTTTTTAACGTGCAGTTCTACAAAAAATGTGCAGTTCTACAAAAAATGTGCAGTTCTAAAATTTTTTTGCGCAGTTTTAACGAAAAATCTTTGCATTTTTAAAAATTTTCTTTAATGAACAAAGATTTCTGGAAAACTTTTCCAGAGGATAACAAACAAAAGTTTTAAATGGTGAAACATAGAGAAGAAAATAAGATGACGCTTAAATTAAACAAACACCAAACCACATATTGGGACAAAGAAATTATAGATAGAGAAATACATTCAATGCCAAGGAAATATAAGTATTACGAAACTTAATAGTCGCTATATTGTTTTTGAGTCACACATACACGAAGCTTGAAATGACAGTGTCAAACCAGGAGCCTGTTTAAGCCCTTAAATCAGCGAACATTAAAAACTCAGAACAAAGATAAGTCATGCCTCCAGCTTCGAATTTAAATTTTACAATTGTATGGTCACACAAAACAGACCTATAGCTAATTTGAAAACAATCTAAAATTTACTTTCCTAGTTGATGTTCAATTGCTATTTATACCTTGCTTTATCGTCATCAGCTTCGTCCTTTAAATTGGCACAGCTCGAAAAAAAGAAGTTATTTAAATTTTGTAAACATCACATCGCTATTAAATGTCGCTCCAAGAACACAATTTTGTTTTTCAAGATTCTATATAATTGAGTTTGGTTTTTTGTGGTTCTATATAACCAAGAACTTACATTGGTTGCCATATGCTCAAAATCAGAGCTTATTCTCAGGAAGAGTTGGGCCTTTTTCTTGGAGCTGTAATTCGAAATGTGGAGCTGAATATGAAATTCTGTGGAGCTGGAAGATTCAAACAGAACAATAAAGAATTGCTTTTTTAACTATTATAGAATACGACAAGACATATTACCTGAGCTGTAGTTTTCCCTATTGAATTAAAGGTGGGACATAAAGGTTTTGGTTTGCAAATGTGAAAAGACACAGCATTACTGGGAGGGGGGGGGCTTGATGGCTAAAGCCCCCACTTTTCAGAGATAAAGCGTCTCTTTCATTATTTTTGAAAACACAGTATGAAATTAAAAGAGAACAAACAGTTTACACGCTGCTTGATTTTATTTGATCTATTTACTAACGTATTGAGGTTTATTTCTATTATTTGTCTATTTGCATCAATTCAGTTGAAAACTTTCTGTATCATTGCAATGTAATGTCTGCATTTTGGATGTGTAAACATGGCCTACTGAAAATACTCGAGACAAAAATGATGCACATTTCTGCCCAGGAAGAAAAATTCAATCAATCAATACAACAGCTTTTTGTTATTCACATCGATGTGCACTCTGAACCAAAGGTTTTTCTTTCTTCCCTCAACTTCTATCACTAGAGTTTCAACATGACTCCTCCCCTCCCAAAATTTTCCTAAATATCAATAACCAATGCTTTTCTGAGAATTATCGAATTGTCTATTCTGAGCAGTATAGTAATTTGTTAAGTTTAAGTCTAGGAGATGCATTTCCAGCCATTCTGCAAGACTAAATCTCAACAATTTTCTTTCGCGTCCAACCCAACCATGGTGGGTCCTCCTATGTCACTAAACTTGATACCTAGACCACTAAGTAACAATTTTGTGGCGTCGTCTCTGGTGGAGCAGAGAGGAGCAGAGCCAATACATATAGGATACGGCATAACAACAGATGTTCAACCAACATCCAGAGAGCAGGAAGGAGCAAGGGAGAAGGGGGCAAATTTCCCCAGGGCCTCGAGGTCTAAAGGGAATTCATAAAGTTTTTGGAATGGGATTAATCAAACGTAACAAAGTATGCTTAAAAGACAGCAAAACGTTTTAAACGATTAGAAGAAAAGGACTGCAAGAAGTGGTTTGAAATGTATTTTAAGCTAATCTAGAGGGCGTGGTCAGAAAAATTTTCAGCTCGCTTTGCTCGTAGTGGGCCCCGCTGTTTGTTTTGCCCCGGGGCGTCCGAACTACTTTCAAGTACCGGGGTATGGAGCACAAGCTACCTGTACCTGCGCATCATGTACATTTTCTTTATACTTATAGATGCTAATAAGTATTCCTTCCACACAGTGTTCCCGAGATAAATGTGCAACTCTAGATTTTCCTTAAGAAACCCTGCTTTGTAGAGTGTTTCTTAATAAAGAAGGATAAGTAAGTGCTTCCAAAGAAATTTGCGAAATTGCAAAAGAACACCAGTGGATGTGACAACGGATTATGTTTTAACGCCTTTAATCTTTGTGAAAGAAAGTAAAGGATGAAGATAAATGAGAAATTCAGTTTTGATGTAATTCAAGATTAGGAATACCGCAGTCCGCAAGGATTGGTTTTGGGGCCTTTCCTCTTCATTATCTTTATCAACCATTATCTTCATTATCAATTTACCTGGTTTTTGATCTGGAGAAGGACATCGACGTCTGTGACTGCAAACGAGTCTCCTTACTTGTTGCTGATGGTAACCTTGGAACAGTATTTTTGAAATAAGAGAATGAAACTTTTTCGTTATCAAAATTGTTATCTTCCATTCTTATGAAACTGAAGGAAGGAATTGTGCTACGTGTGAATATTCGGAGAAAATAACAACCAACTGATCCAAATATTTATTCCATGAAACTTTAGACTCAAAGTTTCAATCAATGTGCTGATTTAAAATACAAACCAGCATTTGCCAATAAAACGAGAAACAGTTAGAGTCATTAAAGTTTTTGAAGACGTTGTAAAATATATTTTTCTGTTTTTAAGTTGGCCTTACCCTAGCCTTAAAAATTACTTTATCTTCTTATACAGTTGACCAAATGAATCATATTACAACTTTCATGAAAATAAGAAAGAAGTGGCCGACTTCAAAATTAAAAAAAGGAATCCGAAGATTGTCTACTAGATGCAAAAGAGGAATGATGGAATGAGCTAGATAAATGAATGCAGAAAGCTATAACGAAAATTGAGCTAGGAGAAATTAAATTCATTTAGCAACAACCAAGAGAAACAGCTAACTTATGAATATTCGGTTAAAGAAAGTTGGAGAGAATATTTCAAAACTTAACTGAATGTCATAGAATGGAGAGTCTTGAAGAGTTCGCTGCGATAAAGGGCCACTCGAGGACCATAAAAAGGCAAAGGGTAAAGACACATATAGAGAAGATAAAATGTTGGAAGGCGAAAGGCGTCTCAGGTTTAGAAATTGAACAAATCAAGGCGTTGGTAGAGGATGGAATGGAAATGATGAACAATATATTTGAAGGCATATCGCACGAGGAATGTTTCGATAGATTGGAAATAATGTGAGACGGTACCCGTATACAAGCAGAAAAGGCTCCTTCCAAAAAGTAATAAAAGTTTTGGAAAAGGTGTTAGACCAGAGGCCTAGATATCAGGTTGTATTCAATAATTTTCAAATTGCTTTCCAACCAAAGAAAGAGAAAACGGATGAAATCTTTACAAATAAGCAGCTACAGGATCAACTTTGGGACGGAACGAAAGGCCTATTCATGGTGTTCTTTGCCTTGAAAATGGCTGGGTACCGAGAGAACTGATGTATGGGTGCTTAAAGAAACGATTCATGATTTTTGTGCAATATAGCAACGATATATATCGTGAAATTTCTTCATTATTTTTGGCTTACCGCTACTTTTACAAAGTTCTAGCTGATTTCATCTAATTGCAAAACTGAAAGGCCGCCATTCTGCGTGTACATACAAACATGGATCTGCAATAAATCTTTAACGTCAAAGAGTCTACCTGTCTCATACATGTCATATTTCAGTTACGATAAATTTCAGATACTTATCATTGTCGAGTATTACCTTGATCATTGTCGTCCTTATTACGTCATCGGACCACATTTAACTCGGGACATATAGAAGGAATCTATCAAATATCTTCGAAGGGGTCCTAACACTTATCAAACCATTGTCTTTATAAGCAATTAAATTGTAAGATAAAATTTACTGATGATTTGTTTTTGTGTTTCACCACATTTTTAAACTACATTTTAAACTTTTTAAAGCGACAAAAAATGTTCTTGCAAAAATTTCGAAGGCACTTGGCTGTAAAATGGCAACGCAACAATGCAACAAAAAGGAGAGGGAAAACAGAAAAAAATGCCAGAAGATCTCTTTACATTTGTACTATAATTCTCTGATAAGAAGCTTTTTTCATTTAATAATCAATATCTTAATTAATTTGAATTTAAAAATCTCTTATATCACACAATTGAAACATCATCAAATCAAAAGTATTCTTAATTTAATAAATTGTCGTAGAAATATTTATAGTCACCAGCTCAATGAGACACACGTCAAACGAGGTATATGGCTGATTCTCTCTGAGCTCTGATCACCTGTCTGTCTCTCTTGTAAGCATTTAATTTACACTCACAACATACACACAAAGCAACTACAGCAGAATCTCGATTTCAGTAAATATTTACGGTATCCGCCTGAGTACCGAATGTAAATCGATACTTGTTTTCAATTCAAGCAAAGAAAAGCGAAAGTGATTAAACGGAATATAATCTCGTTTTAAGGCTGAAACTCTTGCAAACATGATAAAATGACAAACTTACCAAAAAGTAAGTTCAGTGTCATCAACAGACATGGCTTACCAGTTATCGATTATGTGCAAATATCTTTGTTCCGGGTAATAGTCGACCCCAGACTACTTTGGATTCGCTTTTTTGGCTGCAAGAATTCGATTGTTCTACTCAGGCGGGTACGGTATGTGCATTATTGAATCTCACTTTTTTCAGCTGCTTTGCAATGTTTACTACTAGGTCGGTACACTGCGGTGAATTGGGAATTAATTTTCTAGATTTGTCACTTCCTAGGAATTTGTCGCTTCCTAATTTGCACTGCAAAAATAGACTTTGAAATTGACAATTATGGCAACGGATATGGATGTAAAAAGCACTTGAAAAAAGGGGGCATGATTATGATAGGCCAACATGACCAAACCCATTTTCAGAAAATGATGCACTCAATCATGAAGATGCAAACATGACGTCACCAGTCCACAATCATTAGCCCCTTCAACTGACTTCAGCTAAAAACCCATAGATAAAATTACGAATTAAAGACGACCATATCATGACTTTAACAGAGTAAATGTGCTCTCCCGTACGTCTTGGCATTTTTTCTTAAAGTAGAGGCCACCCCCTCTGGTTCTTACGCCCATGACGGGGCACATCGGGTCATAGGAAGCAAGGTGCAATCAATTCAATGTACTGTAAAACGTCCACGTTGCAACATTATGGAGTAGGAAACTAATAACATTTTTTCAGTGTCTACAAGCGATAGAAGGGCCAATTTAAGTATATATTATTGACTATACATAATTTCTAATCTTCCCTGCATGTTCACATGTATATAAATCATAAATCAATATTTCTCTAAGAAACTTTGTACAAGTTTATATTCCTCTGCACGAAGTACAACAATAACAACGAAGAACAAAACAAAACCTATTTCTGTATCAATTGTATAAGAAGGCCACACGAAAAAAGAATGCAAATCGCAAGGTGTTTAAGGACGTGATTTTTCTCAAAAAAGTAGTATTATCGAATATTTGGTAATACTACGAGTGAAGTCTTAAGAGCACACAAGTGACGCCTTATTGACCGAAACGACTTGAGAAATGCCCAATGACTGAAATTTGTGAAGATGAAATTTGTGATCACTTCTAAAAAAGTTTTATGTTTACCCAACAAGAGTATCAAATGAACGGTAAGTTCACATTTCAACTTTTCATCTTAAATTGGCAACAAATTTCATGTAGCCTTCTTGTCAACGTAATTAAAAAACGAGAAGGACCATCCATGTACGTGGTCTCTGAATATAAATAACCCCCCTCCCCCGCCCCCCGATGCAAGTGGAACACATCATGAGGTGCCAGTTCGAGGCAACAACGAGCTAACTCAGGGGTAAGATGTTTTACAATGGGGGGCTCAAAACCAACATTTATAAATTCAAGATATATTAAAATCTTTACGAAAGGATTTGCCTATATGTATAATAAGAGTGAATTAAAAAAATTTAAAATGCAACTCAGCTGGAAGTATGAAACTTCTTTCATGAAAATCTCGTTGTTTGAGACAGACAGCGTTGCACGCTGTGATGGCGCTTTCTGTTAGTGTAAGTATGTGTATCTGTTAGAAAGAGACGAGGGAGTATTAGTGAGTTACAGTTACGATTATACTAATAGTCACCACTGTTGATAAAGAGAGGCCTTAGCAATGATTAATGTTAGCAATGAGTCAGCACCAAAGAGTACAGGTTATCTGCTAATTGCTATAGCCAATGCATTCATTTTCTATACATTTGATGTGAAGAATCATAACAATCAGCACATCCAAATGCAAAGCCTGGACTCAAAGGAATTGCTGGTTTCAGTACTAAACAATTCGTAAGCATGTTACAACCAGTTCGCTAGTCATTAGTATTAACAGTGTGAGAGAATCTACAAATTAAGAATTAGATTACGCTTCGATACAAATGCTTCTTTCAATAATTGCTAAAGGGCGCTGCACCTTTTGACAACACTATTCCCTTGATATCCATTGTGCGAAATTCCTTTATTCCCATGGGAATTAACAGAACGAAAAAAAAGAGACGCGCGGCAGAAGAGGGTAGGCGATCTTTCCCGGAAGAGTCATTAGCCCGTGTAGAGTTTCCCATTTTAACAGCTACAGTTCAAATCCTATAGGCCTGAATAGTGGCTTGTGGCCAATAAAGCTTTTTTTAGCTGAATACCAGTCTTGCGATGAAATCAGATTCTTATATTTGCTCAAACAATTAGGGGGGATTGATTAGAGTGAAAGCATACGAATTTCTTCTAAATTGCGAAATATTGCATTGAAGTCGAACGATCATGAGTAACGTGCAGGTTACAGCTGATTATTGTAATTTGCAATTCAGGCCATTGCATGTTATTATAAACAGTGAAAATAGCAAAGCATAGTAGGGTAGATTTCCAATGGCAAAGCTATTAAAAAAGTTTGTAGGACAATTCGTAAACAAATTTCTTGCTTCCGAGTATCAAAACAGGAAAAACAGGGAAGCATGGGGAAGCCTCCTAATTAACACTAGGAAGCTTTAAGCATGGTCTTATCTATCGTCCCGCCCTGCATTGCAACGCATTTCAACACAAGCACTGATCGCATTGATACTGCATAAAAATTAGCAGAGAAAAAATATTCCACCTTATTTGGTGTAAGGATGAAATCGCAAAGTAGTTGATCGAACTTTAACTTCTGTACCTATTAAGAGAGGAGATCATTGGTTAGAACATCACAAAAAGTGGGTACATTGATACAAACAGTTTGTAAACAAAAGTACAAATTGTTTACACTTCGTTTGCCTCACTAATTGCAACTTGGCTTACGAGAATCTTCACCGGAGTAATACAGACCAAGTACGTAAGAGCAAGATGACAAGCAAAAGTGAACAAGCCGATGAATCTTTGCAAAGCCTCTTTAAAACCTACAATAACTTAAATACATTCGATGGACGATTCCAACGGAAAATTTTACGCTTAGGTCAATAAGTCTTTAAAGTGATGCAAATCTTTCATAAATTCTCCAGCAAATATAATAAATACTTAAATAATTTAATAAATGCATAAATAAATGTGAATAAAACCAACGTAAGCATAGCATACAAATAAACACTACGAGCATAACTCTGTGCAAAAGAAGTATGTCAAGGGAACATGCAGCTATGAATTGAAACGCAACTAACAATGTTACTCATTTGATCCAAAAAAGGGGTTGAAATTCACTTTTGTACAATGAGGAAATGGCAGCCACCTTGAACCTTGCATACGTCGTGAGGTGGGTCACAGCTTCATGCTCCCTTATCATACATTCCTTCTGGCAAGATCGCATTTCACCGAAGTCAAGGAACATGCAAACTTCAAAGTTACATCAATAAATCCACCATGGCTAGGACTACACTGTTCATTGAGATGTTTCAAATGGTTGTCAAAAAGGCTAAGGGTTGCCTTGATGTTCTTGCCTTGCCTTGTCTGGGTTTAAGCAAGAGATTCTGGGACTTTTAAAGGGGTTAAGCACTGTAACATAGTAAGTGACGGGACTCCAATCTTACAATCCCTAGATTTGGAATGTTCGTGTCTTTAAGGATGAGAAATTAGCATGAAAGGCTGTATATCTGCGAAACAAGATGGCTTGTCACACAACACATGGTTTTCCAACTGGTGAAATAAGATCTTGCCATCTCCCTATTTTTACGCGTGGACAATAAAAATACTTTGACGAAACTCCCTTAATACATAAAATCATGGCGCCAAAAGGCGAAACATCTACCCGAATCCAACAAGTCACCGCATACAATCAAACTTTACAAAAACGAAACCCAAAGTTCAAAAATTCTATTTCGATCGTTGAGAAACAAGTGTTTAGCAAATAAGATCCCAATAAATATATTTAGTTAAAAGCAATAATGATCGAAATATATATGCAGTGAAAATGGCGTTTTATTAAGAGTAAGATGTGCCATAGGCACAAATAGGTTTGTCCATCAGTAGTGAAAGCAGGCGAATTTCAAGTGATTTTTTCTTTCTCAATCTCTACCTCAAAAGATAGGTACGACTATTGGTACATCTATTGGCTGCTGGGAACAAAGCGGGTATTCGATTCTCAAGAACCTGAATAAAGTTACAGGGGTGGTTATGTTCTTAAGAACTAGTTTAAAATTTCCAAAAAAGGGCTTTAATTCTTAAAACTTGATTTTCTTTTGGCATAAAACCAATTTCGGCAACATTGACTTATCAGGGTAACAAACCTATTCCTTGTACTATAGCTCGCAGTGCATTACACCGAAAGGCCAGGTTTGCTAATGCGGTTCGAATCACGTAAAGCAGTTGGCTTGGGAACGTGCTTTAAACTGCAGCCTTCACACTAATAATGAACGAGACTTAACCCTTTATCTACTACGTGAAAAGTTAGTTAATTATAGCGGACTTGTTAATGGCACGGCATTCAATTGCAATTCATTTCTTGCTACCAATTACTCCGGTTTCAAATCCGGCAAAGTCAAGCATGGAAGTTGGCCGATGTGCATAAGCATCGAGTGGGTACACCCCTTGCAAGCTTGCTGAAACTGTTTTGAAAGAAAATATCAATGCATCAGCTGTTTAAAATTTTCATTATTTCATTAAATTTATTTTGAAATACATATTTTACATGCAAATTAAGTTTACGATAACTTCAACTATAAACTGAAAATTTTGTTTTAAATCTCTTTTAAAGGTATATACCTAAGCACCTAGGCATAAGAAGATGGAGAGAAAGAAAGAAAGAAAGAAAGAAAGAAAGAAAGAAAGAAAGAAAGAAAGAAAGAAAGAAAGAAAGAAAGAAAGAAAGAAAGAAAGAAAGAAAGAAAGAAAGAAAGAAAGAAAGAAAGAAAGGAAGAGAGAAGGCGTCAAAACTGGTTAGGTAAAAATTTTACTTGGCAGCAAATATCAGTGTTTAATTGGTCTGTTAAATGTTAGTGTTACCACTAGGTCATAAGAGGGGGGCATTTCAGCAGCTGAAACACGAGAAATCCTCTCGATTTTTAATGCTTAGTTGAGTAAGATATTTTCACACGATCTTCATCTTTTATGTTTATGTAGATTGAAGTTTAAAGTTCAAACTGTTAGCAGATTTTCGTTAGACTACAAACTGACTTCAGCAACTAGCAACTTTCTGGAAATATTAATAGACATTTTATTGAAGTTAGTTAAGTCTGTCAACTTCTAGAAAAGTTATTATGTTGTTAAGAGCCAAGGGACTTTTTCTGCGAAATAAATGTTTATCTCAGCTGATAACTGTGAGACAAAAGTGACAAGCCAAATCTGGTGTACCCACTTCGATGACAGCACATTGAAACAAGATGCAGTCGAATACCGTCCTCGCATCAGTGTTAGCAAATACAAAAGCGTCAATCAGCTGAATTTAACTATAAGCATTACATTAGTATAGACATTGTTAGTGTTACAAAGGAGAACTTTAAATACTAAGTGAAGAAAATGAAATATGAAACATATATAATAACGATCAATAGACAATGCCTAGACATAAGACGCGACTGTAACAGCAAGCAAGGAGGAAATTAGATTGGGACGGATAACACTCGTGGGGTATCTGAAGAGTAGTCAACAAGTAACAGGCATTTATCCTTGGCAAGATAAACTGATCACCATTTAAAAAATGTAATCAATATCTGCTTAGTATTTGCATGTTTTCTTATGAGCTGTGGACCAATCGCGTCTTATTCAACTCAAGAACTTTTTACCAAAAAATAGGAAATAGTCGAATGAAAATTAAATTAACTTATATGAGAAGAAATAATTTAATCTGTGATGCAATTTAAGTAAGAAAAAGATTACGCAAAACATGGAAATGCTTCCCTTGAAATTTGTTTCAAATTCCAAAGCAACAATAGTTATAAAGATGTTGTCTGGACTTGGAACTTTTTAGACAAAACGGACTCAAACAAAATGCGAAATCAAAATAATGGGTACTGATGTAATGTTACAAGAGAAGCAATTTTCATTAAGGTTAATCGAAAGACAGTTGCTTTAAAGCAAAAATTTGTTGGAAAACGAACATAAGAAGCATTAAATTATAATAAATCTTTCTAACCATAAAATCACGTACTAAATATTTTATACAGATTCAAACACAGCAAAATCAAAAATGTATACGAAAAACTTAAGCAAAAGGACAAAGGACTTAACAGGTTCAACGCTGAAATTCCCCAAAAATTCGAATGTGTTAACATTCCTTAGTATGTCAATATTTCAGCAAGAAACGATGTGAATGGGTCACAAAATGCCTATACAAGCAGCGAAGATTAAAAACTAATAAAAATTGATTTGTTCCTTTTTGAGGTCAAAACAGTTCGTGTCATTGTCGATGACAAAACGGCAAAAACATGACAACTCCTTGGTAGATGGTGGCGCCAACCTGTTTAGAGTGACAACTGGGGCGAATGTGAGAACTGGTTCATAATGTTCATATCACATAGTTGGTATGAAAGAATGTCAAGCTCACCTGCAGTCCGAATCGGGTAGCTTGGTATCATTGGAGGTAACGGGCTGCTTAATATGCCATTTTGAACTGAAAGAGCAGACAATACCATTAACAATTTTCTATCTTACATAATTTCTCACATGGTCACAGCAATTTAATTTCAGTGAGTTAAGAAAAAGAGGAAATGCTTCTCAGCAAAAACTTCCCTTCCACTGAGAAATCTCGATTAACTTCTATGGACAAAAGGTGTGATCTGATAGTTATCATTCAATGCTTGATATTCTGAGTTTTTATGTAAGAGTATTCCCAATAAAGGCATGAATAAAATAAGCTTCCACTTAAAAGAGCAATTCACATACCTTGCCTTAGACCAGAAGGTGACGGTGGAAAGCTAGAATGTCCTGTCACTGATACACTGGTCGGTACCTCGGGTCGCAGAGTACCATTGAGTATAGCCAAGTCTTTCAACTGTTTCCTCTTTATTTCATCCTCGCCATCTTCCTACAAACGAACAAGGACAGATGAGTCATTTCCATCAGTGATTTTGGAGGGTCGATAAGACATTGAAAACCCATTATTACTGAATGAGTGACCCAGAAAGAATTAGAATTATGGCAAACTTGACTACTGCTGATCGACAATAACTAAATCATTTGATCGTTGATTGAATGATTGTAGAATTGAAATTTGCTAAATATGTGATAGCTGCATCAGATAATAGAACTGTACTGTTTCCACATTAAGGATTGCTAAAACAGCACATAGGAGCTTCCAAATAAACTGACAGCTACTCACAGGTGGTGTCATCAGTATTTTCATTTCTTCAACAGCCTTTGATAGCCGTAGCCTTGCTCTGTCCTCGGTATCCTCAACCATAAGTAGGACATGCAGATCCTCATCTAAATGCTCATAATTCGGTTGTCCTCGCTTTTCTTCTTCCTATAGTGTGTTAAAAAAATTGCCTAGATCTTCAAGCCTCGTTTTGAAGAAATCTTAACAAGGGTGACAGACTTCCGAATGTTAAAGCTTACAAAGATGATCGCCCTACCAAATATACAAACAAAATAAAAAAAACCCTTAAGACCTTAAGGTAAATTGAAGTGTAGGTCAACACATCAAGCTTTTCGATGTTTTGATGACTCATGTTCCAATGTTGTGGAACCATGCTGGTCAGAATGCCTTTTAATGGAAGAATATTTCAATCGGTTTTCCAACAAGACTGTTTGTATAAATGATGGCGAAGAAAACGATTTGAGTTTATGAATTTTCCAGTTGTTAGGGGTTTGAGCATATTGAGAAAGTCTCGAGTTATTGCGAATTCGAGTTGTCAAGGATTTGGTTTCATTAGCAACGTGGCCAATCAGCTGAGCAGACCTCCTTTTGTTCGAAAGTTAATGAAAGGTCTCTTAATGCAGTGCTATGCCATTTTAAGGCAGACAAAATACTTTAAATGGAAAAGAGGGCAGAGATCAGCCCAAATTCGTAACTTTGGGAGAGCACTGGTGACGACGATCGTCCGCGAAAATGATAGGGCCTCTCATAAAAATATAAAAAAATACGACTTCACACTTCAAGGACAATACATCTTTGAATAAATCAAGAGAAAGATTAACCAGCTTTGCAGCGAATCAAAAGAGAATGTAGAGAAAGGAAATTTACCATCTTCTTATCTTTCATTGATCCTCTGCCACGTACAAGGATTTTGCATCCCGTTTCAGTTTCCACTTGTCTTAGGGTGAGGCCCCTTGGGCCAATAATGCGTCCAACAAAATTGAACTGCAAAACAAGCAGGCATTGGGAATATAGAGCAACAAAAAGATAGATACACTTGCATCACAGAAATTCAAAGGTCAGGGAAATCTTCAAGAGGTGGGGATTGCACATATATGTATCACCATAGGCAGAGAGTGTAAAGGACAAGGCTCATGGCCTTCTTTTGAAGAAAAACGGGGGGCCTTGTTGCTTACATAAAACTTTGGGTTCTATCATTAGATGTGTTATCTAAGACAGGCGGGTTGCATTATGACTGTTGTCACTTCCCAATTGTCGATAATCATTGACACTATCCACATAAAGGGTTATGGCAAAAGATATCCACTTTACAATTGTCAGACTTTCTGTCTCACCCTTGTCAAAACTGAACTCTACACCCTTGATTGCAATCAAATTGTGCATAACATAGCAGATAGGCAATCAACAAACCAATGAATCAGCAGTGAAACATTTGCAACAACAGAAAGTGAATAGAAAAGAATAAATTTTGTCAATTTCTGCTGTATCAATGAGGAAGAAAAATTACATCATGGTGCTACCTTTGGATACTCTTTCACTGGTGCATATATTTTTTCAGTGAGCTTGACAATTGCTCCATTTTGTGCAGGAAGTGACAGCAGGAAGTTGGATGGGCTGAATAAATCATGTCTCACTCTGTTTATCTCTGAAAAAAGAATGAATAATATACTAAATAAAAAATATTGCAAAAACATGACATTAACTATGAAGTGGAGAACAGATAGACAGTGAAACCTTGGGAGCAGCTGCTTTTCCCTTTGCAGCTACTGCAGCAGCAATTGAAAGACAGGAGGGATAACAACATGTCAAGTCAAAACAGGAGCAAACATTTAATTAAAAGGAACCTAATGGGATCTTTTTAGATAACATATCACAACTAGTTAAATATCTAACTAATAATTAGGGGTCATGCTTAACAGATTCTTGCCAAAACATTGAAAAAATGTTTAGGGCCATGATTTGTTTTGAAAAGTTGGGATTTCAGCCTTCTAATCACCCTATGCATATGGGCATGAGTATGTCTGTGCTTTAAAACAAGAAAAACCAGATAAGTAAAATATATTGAAGGCTCAAAATATTGTTTGGTATCGTAAAAATTTTAAGCAAACACTGTTGTTATGATGAATGTGGTTTAAATATCAATGCTACTAGGCATTAGTAAATAGGCCATTTAACAGTGTAAATACCGTTTTAGTCAAACACTACATAGAGAAGTGATGGAAAGTCACAAATAGTAAGTTGTAGGATATTGAACCACTAAAAACAGCATATCAAGACAAAAATACTTAATATCTAACTTATTTTAAGTTAGCACATGCTGATCATTTTCATGAAAAGTGGCCTACAATATTTTAAAAGTACTCACATGACCTCCCTCCCACAAGCTGGCTCCAGGTAAAGATAACTTAATGAATGATTATGAATATTGATAAAAAAGAATGAATAAATACATTTCAGACTTCTCATAACTTTGAAAAGACTTAAATTCTATTTCATTTGCAGTCATCATAGAAGTTCAAATGTTTCCCTTGGTTGTAAATTTAACCTGTTGGCAAGTTGGGGTGAAGTATTTGCAAGCAGTGGTAAGGTGTTTATCAGATGCTTCTTACCAAATAAGAAGGCCTGTATATGACTCAGGATTTTGTAGTAGCATCTGAGGCTCATTTTGAATCATTGTTAAAATTTCAAGCACTTTATAAACTTTTGAAAACTAGAGATGCTGAGCAAAGAACTAAGTATGGTAGACCAAACATTATTTCTTCTCAAGAAAAGCTACAGTGATGACTAGAAACTGGGTGGGGATATGAGCTCTTTATTGTCACTGTCAGCTCCCCAAGACTTCTTGAAAAGCAAATATCATAAAAATATCAGAAATTGTTAATCTAGGTACAGCTGGTGAGACCTGGGGCTTTGCAACTGCAAGCAAACAGCAGAAAATTGATCACACAGTTCAAACTAATTGACAAGCAAACACAGAAGATGCTGACTTGAATCAACATTTTACCCAAAACATTAAAACAGATAATAAGTTTAACAATCTATCCTGCACTGAAGAAGGTAACCAAATGAAAATTAATACACATGTCAGAAAAAATAATGACAAAGATAAAATATATAGAGATAAGAAAAATATATTCTCAGACAAGGTGGAAGAAGATCATCTAAGCCTTTTGAGAAGTCACACACAAAACATCAGAAAAACATTTTGAGAAATCCAGAAAAAAATTTGTTGATAAAAAAATTAAAAAATACAGGTAATTTTGCTTTATATGAAGAAGCAAAGTTTACTTCAATAATGACTTTATGGGATCATGGTTTCGAAATGAGACTTTTATTTTTTAATATACAAACAACAGAAATTATGGAAAGTAGATTTCATGGAAATTATGACCCTATTTTGTACATAAAATGTACAAGATGATTCAAAACCTCTGAAAATACCAGTTCTATGCAAGATTTCACCTGAATAAGTGAGGTTAAAATCTCCCAAAATTCTTACAGAGAAAGCACAAAGAAAATCTCTATCTGAGCACCAAATCTATTGAGTTGAATGTTTCTGAGCACCAGAAGAGAAGAAAGAAAAACAAGCATGGGAAAGTGAACCTGCTCTAAGCCTTCAGTCTTATACCAAAACTATTTCAAGCCTGGCTGGATACTACAGAAATACCTGCTTAACCAAAAACCACCCTGCTTGCATTTCAATAGAAGTAGCTATTGACAACAGGGTTATTTGTGAGTCATTGAATATTTCTGTCTTCAAATAAAATCCGATTAGAAAATTTCATAGGTAAACAGAAGGTAAAAGCAACAAATAATAAAAATGATGAGAGATGAGCATGCCACACAGCTGCTGAATTTTGAGATATGTTGTTTATTAGTGTCAGAGACCAGAAAGAAAATCTGATGAAAATTAAAATAAAATATTTATCATCACTGGCAATCTATGTTTTCATTATCACTTGTTCACATCTAGTTTTAGAACAACTGCAAAGACATTTAGGTCTTGTCATTTAATCTTTATGTTTATTTAGCTAACGAAAAATGCAGTTGAGTTATTTTAGCATACTTTCACCAAGCCTTGACTTGAAAAATAATTTGAAAAGCAAACAACATAGTTTTGAAGAATAACCATTTAGACAAGCACAGGAAATGCTTTGGTAGAACATAAATATTTGGAAACCAGAAACTAGTGCTGCTTTATCCTCGGTTTGTAAACAAAAGGCAATTGATGCGTGAAGGAAACACCATGAACAAAAATTAGCAAACAGCAAAAGATCAGTGACAGTGTAATTGTTCCTTTGTTCATACACACACGTGTAGCAGGTGTTGAAGCCAAGTTTAAGTACCATAACAAGAACAGGAACTGCATGCGAGTGTAGCAATGCTTGTAATTTTGTTTGCAAACATAGTCTTAATTCACTTGACATTTCACAAACACAAAAATAGCCCAAGCTCGTCGTCCCCTCTCTTCCGTATTCATTGAACGGCCTCCAAAACGGGTAGGATGTTTGTCTTGAAAGATCTACTTGACAAGGGAAGATTTCTTTGATAAGGGATTTCCTTTTGCGTTGTAGACAATAACACAGATAAAGCGGCTAATTCGAGGAAATTCGAGCAGTGATTTCTCATTCCAAACAGATATAATTACTAAGCTCACGAAGTACCGAGCTACCATAAAACACTCTTTTAGAATGATGATGCAGATTTTTAGAGTATATCAAGAAATCAATTAAATGACACTATCTCCACCTGACTAACTCAGAGATACACAAAAAGTCTAAACATAAATATTAGTAAACAACATGGTAACAAAATCATGACAAGATCAATGTTTTGCACTTGCATTAGCCATAAATAGAATAAAATACATGGTAGTTCTATACATATGCACATAAAACAGCGTTTAGTCTGGAAATTTAGAATTAACAAGAAAATGCTTCAAAAATAAGTTTCATTCACATGCAACATATAATCTGGCAAGGCCTAAAGGTCATCCCATATTTACAAATAAACCTGGCCAGAAAGTCAGCTTGTAGTGGAGGAAAAATATGAGCAACAGGAATAGAGGTTTCAGACTACAAAAAGTTTTCTAAAGTTTTTCAAGATATTCATACCTTCATCGAGCAGTCTTTCGGAGTGTAGAAAAATCTTTGGCATTTTTGTGATTGTGGTCTTATCTTGTAATAGCTGATTGAGGTATTCTGAGGCCGCCATATCATTGGTCACCATTTGTGCAATTAGCTGTAGTCAGTCGATTATTCTGGTTAGCAAATCTAGAAATTAGAAAGGGGAAAGAATCAACCCCGGTGCTTGCTACCTGCTTTATAGCATTTAAACTATGACACTACTACCTGAGCTGAGGGTTTTGACATGCTATGTTCACGTGATAGCAGGGTTCGATTTCACGCATTAGCAAATGTAAACAAAAGGACATGCGTATAATGACTGTCACGTGATAAGGTAAAACAATGGTGAATCGCCTCATGTTACTATTGACAGCGACGTTGTGAACATCAACCGGTAACAAAAGGTTGATATTGACATTAGTCGCTACAATTCGCAATTGTCCCGCCATGAAGCCCAGCAAGATATTGAGTTTTACAACTGGGGAAGGCGCTGATGTTACACCACGATTTTCCGCAACACACAGTACTACAATCTTGAATAATTCTCCCTTTTGCAACATGATAAATGTTTATTCAAAAATTCTGTGGGCATTTTGCGAATTTTATGTTTTATCTAAGATCTTGCTATAGCATCTCTGGAGCTTGATATCGCAGTTAGTATGATGGTAGAACAAAAGTTTCCCAGGATATTTTTTTGGGATGTTCCGCTTTCTCCACAATACACGTCTTTTATAAATAAGAAAGGTAGCGAAAAGGGCGAAAAGAATCTACAACATTTCAATATGAGCATCAAAATATTAAAAGGCTAGCAAGATCTATCAACCTTTCCTGTGGGGTATATGAATGTTATGGTAGCTGTTACCTTTGGGGCAACCTAGTATGGCCTAGTTGCAACATGATGCAGGACACTCACTCTTCTAGCCAACGGCAATTCTCACTGCACTTCCTTGAGACAGGATGACACCCTCTTGATATTTTGGAACCCCCTGTTGTTTATGCTAGGTGATCCTAGCCCCCCGACAAAGAACAACCGTGCCAGTTTTCATTGAAGTGAACAGCACCCTTTTAGAAAAGCTTTGCAAGGAGACAAAATTATGTTTTCGTTGTATATTCACTGAAATTCCAAACAACCTTTTCACAAATATTTAGCAAGCATGTCTTTAAAACATAAAGCCGTTTAAGCGAATAGCTAGATTTACTAATTTTGCGCCACATCAAATGAAGGGATATTTTAAATAATCTTAGAACGCTTTCAAATAGATTGTGATGAAAATAAAGGGCAATGGAAGACAAATTTAGGAATGAAAAATATTTGTTTGGGTCTATAGGTGGGACATTCACCAGAAGAATATCACAAGAGGTGCAGTAACATTGGGCCCGCCATGCAGCAATCATTGAGTGTTGTGTTTCTAGCACCAATCAAAATAATTTTGGGGTGTTCTCCCGAATGAAATTTAGACTGCAAAAATATACGTATTTCAAGGGCTTAATAAAGCAATGAGATGGAGTAAAATGCGATTAAAATTTAATTTAACAAAAACATAACAATTCTCAAAATCTATCGAAAGGTGTGTTTTGGTCATATGTAATCAAGAACAATATTGAGCAAAGTCTTTAACTGAAATGAGAATTTTCTGGTCTTAGGTTTCACACACCTATAGCCAGCTGATGTTTAGCCAATCGAATGCCCCCCTTGAAAGGACAAGCTCAAACAATACTAATTGTTCATGCTACTTAATGAACTATTGAAAGTGACTAGTGCAGTTATATTTCTTTTATCAAGCATCCATTTTCATTGTCATTTAAAAATCTCGTGCATATTACTTTAAAATTTGATTTTGTTATTATTACTTTCGTGTTATTATCTTGGCATGTTTAATCTCATAATTTGATACGGCTAAACCCACTTGCTTTTAATAATTTAAAAGATAAGGTCGATCCGGTTTAACGTTACAGAGGCACTATCTTTGATTATTTGAGCTTAATGCTCTTTATTTATGCCAGAAATAGGACAGCTTTTGCGCTACCAACAAAACTTTCTTTTTCAATTCACCTGCAAAAGGCTATTGTTGGCAGACGAAGTGGAAGCAACTTTTTGCATTTAGCATTGCCAACAATTATCTATAAACTCATTTATAAGAATATTGTTTGTAAGAATATTCAGGCTTAGAACCATGCCATTTTCTAGAATATTGCGAGAATATTACTCAGCTTCAACTCGCATTTTCTGTCCCATTTTCCAGCAATTGCCCTGTTTGCGAAATCATTAACGAGGAATCACAGAACCGATTTATCTCGCTTTTCAGAAAACGTGGTTTTTATTCAACAGCGGGCGATGCTCCTCTGAAGCCATATCAGATTTTGAAAAAAATACGAGTACTTAAAGAATATATTCTTGTTCCAAATGAAAATTTCGTAAGAATATCGAGGCTGGAAAAAATTCATAATACTCTTATAGAAAAGAAGTGTATTTTGCTTGATGTTAAAGGACTTTTTATTAAGCAACTGTTAAAAAATTTAACAACACATGGGTTTTTTTAATAGGCAAGGCAGATTTCATTTACTAGTGAAGGATTTGCATTCATCTTCAGTTGAAATTGCTCCTACTCTTACAATTGGATTCCTTTACATCTACAATATGCTAAAATGAGCAATATTACGTACTTTAGTCCGCAATTATTGCTTATCTATTCTTATCTCTATACGTTAGAACAGGCGTCAAGGTTCTAACAACGATAATGTAACGTGACTTACCTGAGTGTCACAGCATTTTGAAAGTAACAATTAAGAAGCTGAAGTAAGAAAGGTATAAGAAATTCTATGGAAAAGATAGAAATGTTTTGGTTGTGAAATGATCAAAACAAAATGTGTATACATACCAGGTGATGATTGATTTGCTGTTCTACGTCCAGTTGCACAATAAAGACTAATTTGTATCTAAAACAAGTGCTACTCAGATCAGCAAGAGTGCTGCATTAAAAAAACAAATTAAGCTGATATGATATTGTTGACAATTTTTGTTTCATGGTGATCATGCTATTTTTCGACAGTTTAAACATGCAGATGCTGTGGTGAACAAACTGGGTCTGCAACCAATAAACTTGTTCTTCAAAGACCTCTTGTGAAGACGCGGGCGTTATTTCAGATTCAAGGTCTCGTTAGATTGCAGTCGTTAAATTGAATACTTGCCAGCAGAATAAGGCAACAAGCTCCTCAGTCATTGTTTAGACATCACGTCCTGCGAGTTTTATACTGATCGATAACAGACAAGTGAGCGTGGTCTTTACAACTAAGTGGATTGTTATAGAGATCATAAATCTAGCTAGGGTCAATGATTATAAAATTTTTTAGAAATAGAGAGGCTTCGAAAATAGTCAAATTTCAGGAAAGAAATGGGGACATAGAATGGAACTTGATTTCTTTTCATATTAATGCATGTCCTTGGAAGCGCTTTAACATACATCGGATTCTAGAAGAATTTTTGAAAAAAAAATTCATCTCGACGATCGTTTGAATACAAGTAAAGAGAAATTTGAAACAAAGTCCACTTTTTAAGGTAAAGAATCTACTTACTGCCTTGAAAAATAAATAAATCTATCTATCTGAAATAAGTTCAAAGGTTTAATGAGCCGATGAATGGCATTTTCCCTAGTTCAAGCAACTCAGTTTTCGATCCTTTAGTTTTCCTGTTTAGGTCATTTTATGTTTATTCAACCCAACTGAAAATCTGAATAGCCATCAGACGAAACCAGGGAAGAGGTCTACAAAAGTAAACAAGGGTTTTATTAGTAATATCTTGGTAATACCTATAAAGCTACGTCTACCCAGCCCTGTTTGAGTGAACATCCTTTATCAAATTAAACCTTTTTAGTTAAAAGTTTTACAAAATGCACTTTTTCATTTAAGCATTTTTCATTATTGTGCATTGACGGCTAAGAAAGTAAACATTGTATTAAGAATGCGTGCTAAAGATTACCAAAAGAATTTACTGGCTTTTGGGAGTGACTGTGACTTTCGACTGTCAAACTAACGCGTGTCCTGAGATTAGGAATACTACAGTACTCTTGTAGTTCTTCTTCTAAGATCTATTTAGTTCGAAATTTAAGCTACTGTACTGAACAAGCGTAAAGAAACGTGGGGTTGAATTATTGAATCAGTTTATGTTTGCCAAAATCTTTGAGGGAGTGCACCCTGTAAAGCAATCTTTGTCATTGATAGAGATATGTGTTGTATCAAATCTTTGCTAAGTGAGAAGCAAACAATTTTTTAGAACATGAATCGTTTACCAACCAGAAAAGATGCACAAGTTGAGCATTTATCGAGCAATCCGACCTGTGCTTTTGCTCTCGATTCAACAGCTGAACAGAATGAAATCAAGACAGATGGTTTTAACCTAAAGGCTAGCAGTATTTGCATCCAACGAGTCATGAAATGAACGTCTTAATCCCAAATCCTTACTTGTCTTACAAGCCAGTCGACTTGACGTCGATTTCATCATGATAGGTTTTCAAAGCAGTGGAAAATGAAATAAATTCAAGAAGAATGCCCTGATTAAAATCTTCCTTGCAGCTAGCTACTTTACGATCAGCTAGCGACATATATTGGCTACAAAGTTTCCTGTGATGCTAATGCTTGATGGAATTTGAATTTGAGAATATGAACCAGATCATTCTTGACTGGGTACAACTGCACATGGGCCCTATGCCTAATGAAAAAGCAATTCTTGCTTGAAATGCATCATCTAAGTACCCGAATATTTGCTGTCGTTACGAATCGCCGGTGAGACACAAAACGCGGGAGGGGTTCAGCACCTTTAAAATTTGTTAATTAGAGTTTATGCACTTCAGGAGTCAATTTTGGCCTTTTTGGCTCACTATGGAACTTTGTCACAACGAGACTCTTCAATTTTAGTCTAACTTGTATCTTGGTTAGAATAACTTTAGTATGAAATGTCAATCTATGGCACAATCAAGTGGTATCTGTATAATTAAAATGCGAATCTGAGATCAGCATTGTGCTTGTATCTTCGCAGACCACATTTGTGTTAAAATGAAGCGTAGAAACAACAGAGAGAAAAGAGCGTTAAAGAAACTTACCAGTCTGTAATGACGAGCTGAAGAAGTGCTAGACAGGTGCTTTGCTCTTTTTAATGTCAAGAGTAAGATTAGCATATTTGTCAGAGGTCATCTGCTCGAACTGTGATTTGTGGAAGCAGTGCGCAAGATCTGTCGCGTGATCACGCTCTGTTTCTTAGGACACTTTCCACTTCTTCACTCAAATAAGTATAGCTTATTGTTTACAAACTGCATACTGGGACCCATTTTAACAGCAGAGTTCTTCACTGGAACTTGTTTCCAATAATGGAACAAAAAGAAAATTCAAGTCAGAAGGTTGATGCAAGGAAGCCACCTGACAGAACATACGAGCACTGCACCAAAATTCCTTAAGACATCAAAAGGTACGAGCATTGTTCATATATTATTCATTTCCTTTCCCTAACACAACTACTGCAGCTCCCCTCCCTTCACTACAATATAGACCGCCTAGACAGAAACCATGCACGCTCCATACAAAACATAAAGTGATACATCATTTTATACTTTAACTGTCTTTAAAGCTCTGAATACGTTAGCTTGTCAATTGTTATAGAATTTCTTTACGCAGAAATAATTTAACAATTGCCCAAGAAATATAAAATTTGGATATAATTGCTTGCTTTCAAGGTACTCAGACATGGAATTATTTCGCAGTTGATGAGTACTTGACCATCACTTCTTGCACGTTCCTTTAACTAACATCATAATGCGTTTTGTATGTTATATACTATAAAATTAGGACAAAGTCACGTCAAAGCAAAAGATCCACGCAAAACAAAAGAAACAGCCCACGATAAACTAATGTTTCGCTGCATACTGGCTGAGTTTGCAGCGACGCAAACTGAAAGATTTATAATGTCTACTGGGCGATTTCGCTACAACATGTAGAGCTAATAATACATGCACACGAAAAAGAACAAAAACAAATGAAAAAAGCTTTAAAGGTTGCTAGTATTTAGCTGACTCCATTTTTGCGCAATTTATCTTATAATGTTGGGCCATGCACAGTCTAATTCAACTACACATCCATTCTAGCAAACGATGTATAAGTAAAAATGTAGTTATTTAAAAGAATAGAACTAAATAAGTGCAGGTAATAAGGAAAATTTTCGCCGATAAGTTAAACAGCATTGATCTCTTCAAACCATCTCTCCTCCAGAACAACTACAACAAGATTCTAATAAACTAAACATAATGTAGCTCAAGGTCGCCACTTTATGTTGGAGACTCCTTGAAACTGCCTTTGCAGTTGATTTCCATCGGCCCATTCTGAGTTCAAGTAGGCGTCCTCTTCATTTTGCTCCAGTTTCTGAAAAAAATGTAGAACTATTAATTTGCTATTGTACAATAATGGTGCTGTTATATAAGCAGGTTATAAACAGACAAGAACAAAATCTTACATAAACCTCGTCTTCGTGAATCATGTCACATTGCCAATATGGACGGACGGAATTCAAAGCCACCTCTTTTCAATTTTCATAGCCTATAAATTAATTTGTCTTTCGCAGTGCCCCAATGAATTTGATTATACAATACTCAATTAAAAAAAGTAAAAATACAACTTTGTAAGATTCAAATCTTGTTGCGAGTACCGAGCACGAAAACTGACTAGAGTTGCTTATGATGAAGTTTATTCACTTTGGAACATGGGATGCGGAAAAGAAGAAGAAAAAAGATAAGGGATAAGAAGGAATTGAAAAAGAAAAAGAAAAAAGGGAAGAAGAAGAGAATTATGAAAAAAGAAGAAAAATAAGAAAGGTAGAAAGAAGACAATAGTAAAGGAAAGAAGTAAAGGAAGAAGAAGTAGAAAAAAAAGAAAAGGAACAAGAACAAAGAATTCGGGAAATTGAAATATATACCAATTAATAATAAAAAACAGATGTACCAAATAACAAACGAAGTAAGATGTACCAAATAAGAAACAAAGTGAGATGTACCAAATAACAAACGAAGTAAGATGTACCAAATAACAAACAAAGTAAGATGTACCAAATAACAAACGAAGTAAGATGTACCAAACAACAAACGAAGTAAGATGTACCAAATAACAAACGAAGTAAGATGTACCAAATAAAGAACAAAGTAAGATGTACCAAATAACAAACAAAGTAAGATGTACCAAATAACAAAGAAAAAAAGATGTACCAAATAACAAACAAAGTAAGATTTACCCAACAAGATGTGCCGTTCCTGATACCATCAGAAAGGAACTGATATGGATACGGCGCAGCTCTTCGAGGACAGTTGTATCAATGCAGCGAAACAGGCAGAACAGTAGAGATGTTCATCGGGTGCTAAGTATGACCCTTACCAACACAAAAAGTAACATAGCAAGCAAGCAAAAAGGGTTTTCATTTGATTGTTAAAATTAAGATATTCGAAATAGTATAAATTCTAGCAGCCTATCTTTGCAAAAAATAGATTGGTTTTCTAATATTACTTATTGTGACTATCCTGTAAGACCCCTATATGTAAATCTTTGCTCTTTCAATGGCTGTTTACAATGCTTTCACTTTCCGTGCATAGTGACTAAAGTTTTCCTAAGACTTTTTTGTGTGTGGCATTTCGTTATTTTTAGACCGTATGCAAAGCAAATTAATGCTTCAAACTGATGCTTTAGTTCGACTTTCTTAGTTCCTTTTCTGCTATCTGAATATAATTGTTGTCATCCCGAGTTTCGAATCTGCAATGAATACAATGCTGCGCAGCATCAAATCTGGAAATGCAACCATGCAATAGTGTACTGTCTCTTCTTTTGACAAAGTGAACCTTTCCCCAGTTCCGGAATTCAATCGAAACAGCAGAACACTGATACACTGAGGTACTTTTCGTCTTTGCCTATAAATGCCACACAATGAACGAAATGGTAACAAAAATTCATATCAGATGCTTATCAAAGGTAACGGGAGAGGGAAAATAATACCCTTGATTTGTTATGAGCAGCTGCACGGCGTATTTTGAGATTGCTTTGATTGAACAAATCTCGCTCGTCTTGGTTGAGCCCTCTAGTCCTACTTCCAAAAAAACTTCACGTGAACAAACTGCGGAAATGTGTACGCGAGCGAAATAGGTTGGAGTGAAGGTCGGCCTTTATTTGGATAGTCGAAAAGAGAAAATAGACTCTTTCTGTCTACACTGGTCGGAATCTTTTGTTTTAGTGTAGGCCTATTCCAAGCACCTAAATGAAAAAAAAAACGATTTTGCTTGGCAGATGATTTGAAATTGTTGTCACTATACTTTAAATGCACTTTGAGTTTTGGTGTAAGTGTTAGCATATGAAAAGATCTGATTTTCCAAATATGGTGTGGTTGTTCTATTTTCCGAACCCTTTTTGCCTGCTGCTCACGAGAACATGCTGGTTTGCTCTATCAACCAATTGCTAGCCACGGATTTCTACATACCATGCTTCATACGGGTACTAAAAATTGGCCACCAAGAGCGAAGAAACCTGCTTCAACATGACATGTTTCTACTTTCCGAGCTATTAAAAAGTCGACTTGATTATAAAAAGAAAGAAGCAGGAAATTACAAGAATATTCATGATAGAATATTAGGAATTTTGGTTAGCCGCGGCAGCTTACCTTCATATCTTCCTGCTTGCGATAATAGTAGGCCATCATTTTCTTCTGCTCCTCCTCACTGACAACAGGCTCGCGGCCGGGGGCCCCTTGCCCCTTCTATAAAAATCCAATAGGCGACTGATTAGCAATAGGCCGTTAAAACAGGACGCAATCTCTTAAGGAAATAGGGGACCGCAAAACTTCCTGACCTGCCTTTTTAGCAGGCCCTCTGTCTGTGAGCATTTTAGCAAATTTATTATTTGTTACAGACACAGAGTTAAGTTACATAAAGGGAATAGGCTTTTTCAAAATTACCTTTTGTTTCGAGGGAGGTTGGTACACCTTTAAATTTAGTACTACACATAATAGCTCAGTACCTTGTACCTCGACGAGCCAGTGCAAGCAGTAAAATGTCATTAAGAGAGTGCTTCTGTATGACTAACTCTAGCCCTTTATACGAAACCTTGTAAACAGGGAACCTTCAAGTCTGATAAAATGACATGTATGTTAAACAGCTTGCTATCGTTGTTCAGCTTCTCATTCCAAGTACAGTATTTTCTTTTGTATTTCCACCCTCTCTAATAATCCTACCTCTCCAATAATCACACATGCGGGTTTGATGAAAGAAAGGAACCAATACATTGTAAATTTGCTTCGAGCTTTGAATGATTTTGGAACATTCAGGGTAGTGTATTTTCGTTTTTATTTTATAACAGCAAGGGTGAATAATGTTGCAGCCAATCAACGTCAACTTTCCAACCAACTTTCGTCAATTTACATGCAATGTTTCCACATCAACATACGGAGGGACAGGTTGAAAGTTCAAGCCCACTTTCAAAAGCACGTAGAAAAATTAACCCCCGCCTCCCTGATAATCCTGCCTCCGTGATAATCCCGCCTCCCTGATAATCCCGCCTCCCTGACAATCCCGCCTCTCTAATAATTCCGCATAGAATAAGAAGGTTTAATCAATAAACCCGCGGCGGGATAACAAATAAAATTCAGTATCAATCTAGTGCTTACAACGATCTGCTTTTCAATTTTTCAAACCACACCAAAAAGACCCCATGGGTTCTCTGGACATTACCAAAACATATCAACGAAATAAACAATTTATCGTTCAATTATCATACTTTTTGTAACTTGACAACAATTTTAGTCTTTTCGTTTTTTCCAATGTAGTCTCCAAGGGATTTTGACCTGAGGAGCTCCTTCCCAGCCCACCAAAGTTCCACAGTGGTCTCTTCTAGCACCTGCGCAGCAGCCTGTCAAGGAACAAACCCACATGAAGGCCTGAAACTTTATATCATTCGTTACAAAGTTCACATGAGAATAAACTGGCAACATCATCCAGAGCTAATCTTGGCTTAGTAAATCTTGTTATAATTTTTAGATATAAATATCGGTGCCCATCAAATTTGAAACAACCAATGAAACACGAATTCTCGATCACCATTCGAAAAGATGGTTGCCAGATCTGTCACATCTGATACTAAAGCCTGGTTTCCATATAGCTATCATGCGTCGACATCGCCAATGACACCCTGCAGCAAACTCGAATAATCGGCGACACCCTGGGATGCACAAACCCAGGCCTCCTAGGGAGCCTTTATCAAAATGGTAAAATTCGTAGCGTTTTTTGCTGCGAATACAATATGAAATGGATGTTGAAATGGATGAGGGGGTCTAGAAAGAGTGGGGAAGGGGCTAAAACCGAATAAGAAAGAGGCCTGGCTGGTGATTCATTTCTTAAAGTTTTGCATTTTCTCTTCTTATAACCTATATTCGAAGAAAGTTAGACGAAAACCGCTTTTCAAAACGAAAACATAGATTCTGGGTTAGGGTAATTTATCGTCAACGCCCAAGTATTTGGCCAGTTCCGCACATTATTTCATGAACTGAAGCTGCACAAACGAAAACACTTTTACAGGTGGGTAGGTTTTGGCCTTTGTACTCCCAAAGATTTTCATTTCATCAAATTTTCATTTACTCTTATTTACACACGATATCCATTCAGTAAAAAGAAAAATTATGATATACGAGAAAAAATTACATTACAATTAAAATTTGTTAAGGCTACTCAGAGATTGAAAATATAAATTGTCTGATCTTCCATGGATTCGTGTCGAGGTCATTTCTGTTAGCTCAAAGGTGAAACCTTAGTTCTTTTTTAAATCGTACGATGGAATCGATATCTCTAATGGTAGTGGGATTTAATTCCAAGCGGCTTTCAACTAGTGCTTGATATACATTGAGCAACTGGGATTGCAGTAAGACATTTTCCAGTCTTTAAACAAAGCTAAGCTACCAGCTACTTTCCCTTCGACTTATTTGTACTGTTCATCCAACACAACTTATCACAAGTCCACCGCAAGTCCAAGGTATTTCGTTTTATGAACCTGTTTTTTCAATAACTATCCAAATAGAAGGTGGAAGCTCAGACAATTCGCTCTGCCTACGAGGATGGTCAATAACCGTGAATGGTTTTCCCAGGTTTTATACTCAATTTATCTATTCTCATACACTCGGAAATGTTTTCTAATTCAGCCTGGAAGTTTTGTATTACGTTTCCAAGCTCATTCTACGAGAGTAAAACTTCTGTTTCATCTGTGTCATTAGTTTCGAAGTCATTAAGGTACAATATGAAGAGCAATAGGCCTAGACAGGATCTCTGTGACACTCCACATGTAACTGTCCGGGGGCCCGACCTGTTACCGTTTAACGAGCAGTATTGTTGACAGTTTTTTACGCAGGTATGATCTGTCTACCCAGTACCCTCTATTCCATATACTTACACTTTTCTGATAATTATTTCATGGTCTACTGTGTCAAACGCTTTCTTCAGATCAAGAAAAAGAAGTATTGAATATAATCATCAATGGCTTGGCAATTAACTTTGCAGCATCTTTTACAAGATATATTGGAACTCCATCTAGACCGGGTGCCTTTCCTTTTTTCAACATATTTAGCGAAGAAAGCATTGCATCTTTGCTCAATATCTTAAATGAAAATTTCTAGCCGGTATTAACGGCGTGAAAATATTTGATCGGATCGTCATCTGGCTTAGCCTTTAGTTTACTAGCAAGATTTGGGCCTACGCTGACAAAGTGTTCGTTACACTTTTTATAATCTGATTTTGGCACTTAACGATCTCCATCTCTGCCTTTTATTTCAGCAATTGTTGTGGTACCCGAGGTTCAGTGTAATATTTTATCGATAGTTTTCCACATTTTATCGAGTTATTCTTTATTGTAGAGACATGGTCCTAGTAAAACTTTGTGACTGCAAGTCGTATGTTGCTTGTTACCTTATTAAAAAGAATCTTGTTTTTAGGCCATAGGTTTGGGTTCTTCAAAGCTATTTTCTACATTTTACTGCGCTATTCTATGCTCATTTTAATATCTGAGGTAATCCATGGAAAGTACTCGTTTTTTACCTTCCTTTTCTTTAGAGGGGCATGAGAATCTAGCAGATGCTCAAAAATTTCCTGAAATGTAGAGGCTATTTGAATCGTGTTGTCATTCACTGGTTCTAAAATAGAAGCCCAGTCAATTAGTTTTAGGTCCTTCTGAAAATCCTACTTACAATAGTATCTTAAAGCATGATACTGCATAAATCATATAACGGTCTACCACTCCTAGTTCTAAGATGTACTGAATTAGCACTATTAACCGTTACGTAATTAAGATGCGCTTTTGTTATAGCCTCGTTTTAGTTATAGAGCACGTTTTTTGTTGGTTATGTTCGTAGATCCAAATGGCTGTGCATCGAAACTTCTAGTTTATTTCATCGTTAAACATTGTTGAAACTAAAGTTCATAGATATTTTACGACAAAGACACCAGATTTAGAAAATTTACTTTGCTCTATTTGTAGAAAAATGGTCTATTTTGTCGTATAAAACTAGACTAATCATAACCTCTGAATACTCACTTGTGTGCCAGAAAGGTCTTCTTCATTCTCAAACTCCAGTCTCACAGTATCGTGTGGGGGCAAACCCATAGGGTAAACAATCATGACCGCCCCTTTCATTTTATCTATAGCTTCTTTGGTATCTGCTAAAGTTAGACATTTATTCGCTTGCACCAAATCCTAGAAAAAAGCAAAAGCACATCAAAAATACTCGACTTAACTGTGGTCAAGTAAGCAACCCATGTCGTTATCTACGTCGTTTCCTTCCCTTGGCGAGCTAGCCCCAGCTATTATCCTTCATTCTTTAGGAAATCCAACAGCCATATAATGCGCAAATATGAATGGATAAAATTGGTAGAAATCTAGATTGTGAAATCTTTATTGAGATTTGTTCTTTTCAGGCAGCGAATGCAGCACGCTACATGTTCTACTTCGTACTTTTCAATCACATTAGATATCCCAGTTTTTCAGTTTACAATTATCATGACCTTCGAGCTGCCCATTTCCACTTTTATGAAGTTTGTTTAACTGACTATGACCAGGATGACTTTTTTATATTCTGCCAATCGATTTACTCATTTAGATCAGTATATTACACCCCTTTGCATGGCAGTAAGTTTACAGATGCAAGACCCCTCACCTTCGAAACTTGGGATTTCGCATCATGCCTCGTTTTGTTTATAATGTCAGCCATTTTTTCGTTTGGTGCTTTCCCTGTTCGTCGTCCAACAGGATCTTTGCAGTCCACACTTCCTCCACTTGGCAGACATTTTTCTTGCCATTCATCGCTAAGTTTTAAATCATTTATTTGCTCTTCCGTCAAACCTTGCATGTTTGGTGGAAAGCAAATTCCATGCTTTGCTAAAGTTTCCAAATCTAAAATTGAAGGCAGAATTCAATTTAATAGCCTTAAGGGTTTTGATTGTATGTATCTCCTTGACTGAAAACGAAATGAAGTTTTTGAAACAAAATCGTTTGTCCCTCGTTTGGAAGTGTTTGCTATTAGAGGTTTCCATTTTTAGAAGGCACCCGTTTTTAGAAGGTGTCCACTATTAGAAGGTGTCCGTTTTTAGAAGGTATCCATTATTAGGAGGTATCCGGTATTTGGAGTTGTCCGTTTTTAGAAGGTGTCCATTATTAGAAGTTGTCCGGTATTAGGAGTTCTCCAGTATTAGGTGTTGTCCGGAATTAGGAGTTGTCCGGAATTAGGAGTTGTCCGTTATTAGGATCGATAATCATGTTAAAAGCCGGTTTTCACTTGATTCGCTCTGGTCGCGCGAGAGAATCTGATAATGTTTGTCATCGCCGAGTGTCGCAAAGTAGCAATTATTCACTGGACGGATAGGAAAGGCTTATTATTCTGCAAGTTCTCTATAAAGGTTAACATTTATCAGCTTCTAAATAATGAAACAAATGATTTCTATCTTTCGCCCATGTCGAGAAAGTCTTGTAGGACAAAATAAAGTTTTGTATCTGCATAACAGCGTAAACAAACATGTCCATGAGACATTTCTTATCATGATTAACGTTCTGCTCTCGATACCAACGAAAATTAAAGAAACAAGAAGGCATAAAGATTGTAAAATTTTATCGTTAAAAGATGGCATAAAATGAGACCAATTTTCAAAAGTAAGATTGTTGTAGCACAGCGCCCCCTTACATCGTTGGCCTTTCGATACGATTAGTGATGGAAAAATCCCTTCACTTGCTATTAAAAACAGTAGTGTAAACACACGAGTCACTGTGTAAACACGATAGCAAAACTAAGAAAATAAGCAAAAAAGAACCAACAAATTGACTCTTTATGGAGTTGTCATTTACATAGGAAATGCTGGCGATTTAATCACAAAGCTATCTTGCAATTTCCGTCGAATGGAGGATGTGGAAAGATGTGGTCGTTATTGTTGTTTAGGACTGTCGATAGTTAAGCGTGAAAAACAAACCAATTCAAGCACAAAAGAGTGAAGGATACTTTGGGTCATGAAAATTATTTATTGATGACTGATTATCGTTCTAAATTATTTGATTGCCATTTTTAAAGATTTGGGAGGGCCAAATCAATTCAGTTGCTCAATGGGTTGCCATGACTGTTAAGAGCAAATGAGCATATGCGCTAAATATTGCTGAAAAGCTGGAATCAACCTTTTAGTCTGAGCGCTTTTCTATTGCATTCTAACACAGCTATCTTTGGTGGGAGGTTTTAAACATTGAAAAGAATGGCTAAGCTGCAAATTCATTGCTGACAACGTCTTCAGAGACCAAGTGGATACAAGGAGATCACAATCAAGCAAATGAATAATGAAAAGCAGTAAGATGTCTTACTTTAATCTGACACCATCTGACTTTTCTGACACAATCTAACACAATCAAAACAGAACAATGTACACAACGAGAATAGCTGATCGAATGTTTTGATTCCAGCAGCACTTGCTTTTACATTAATCGTTGTGCACTGGTATGACCAAACGAATTTAAAACTGATAAACAAAATCAAAACAAACAGGTACTGTTGTTGCTACTATATCACAACTATGATCACAACAAGGCAAGTCAAAACCTTGAAGATATTTTACATCAAGGTCATAGTGCAAAAATAGTTTCTTCCCAGCCTATTCGCATAATTTATAATATGCAAGGTACCTGTACTCAAATCATAAGAATAAATATGCAATAAATTAGAATAATAGATGCATCTCTATAACCTTTAGACTAGAAATATGTGACACTTTGAACACAGTAACATCAGAAATACTGTTCCCTTGGATACTCTGCCGCGAAAACTTATTTTTTTTAATAAAAAGTGGGTTTAGGCAGTGGTGTAGCGCTATTAAGATAACAAGTGGGGCTCTTGCACAAAATGTTGCGCAAAACATTACCAAAGTAAAAATTTGCCAATTTTCGGCATCAACAAAGTGACTGACCTAGCAAAGGGTTTTGCAGAGAAGCCACAATAGCACAAAAGCAGTTCCATACGAATCCCAGCAATAAATTATTCAAAATTGAAGCTTATGATCTATGTGTGTCATTCAAAGAAAAAAACAAGAAGACACAAAACCATTGTCAATGGAAAGTGCACTAAGCAACGAGCATTGGACAATGCCAAACGCAACAAGCACTAGCCAACGCGACGAGTTCTGAAATACGGAAAGAGCTTGGAAAAATACAACGAGGATGGGAAAAGGAAAAGTGCATCAGAAAATGCAATAAGTAATGGAACATGGAAAGAGTTTTGGTTTGCATTGTGCATTGGCGAGATGAGCGTTGGAAAATATGGCAAGAGCTTTGAAAATATGACAAGAGCTTTTGAAAACGCAACAAGGATGCGAACATATAACAACCATCAGGAAATGCAACGATTATTGGAACATGCCAAAAACGTGAAAGACAACGAGCATTAGAAAATGCACCAAAAATGAGAGAATGCAAGGACATCAAACATTTCCTTGACATTCATCTCTAGTTCACCAGCATTGGTCATATCCTTCTTTACTATTAGGGTATGACATTTTTCAGGATTTGTTTTCGTTTGATTGTCTTGCAACCAAATCGGAGCAACATCATACACAGATCTATGAAACTAACAATGGATGAAAACAATTATTAAACAGTGAAAAAGTCCGGTTTTTCTAAAATTCTATTTTGCCAGCACATTATAAAAATTATCCACTAAAGGGCCGCAGCAGATCAACCAATAATCTGCGCTTGCAAATGAGCTATAAATATATAACCGATATGTTAATGACTCTGAAAAATGGCCCAACCTGTTTTGAAGAAACAATGGCATGGACATGGCTGGAAAATTTGGAATATTCATCTAGCCACCAACTGGAAACGCTTACGCCTAGCTTTCGTCACACTGCCGTCCAATTTACAGACAATTTTATGTTCCGGGCAAGCCTTTTAGTCAAGTTAGAGTGTTCTGTTTTAATTTCGAAAGGGAGAAAACCTTTTTCTCTATGATACTCAATCCTTACAAATACACAATACATCCCGGAAAATCCTGCATCTTTTGGCAACTTGTTTGCTGTTTTCTGCCATTTTGGCACATATTTGAGCGAATTTTTTTATTCTTAGTGAGTAACATTCAAAATAACAAAACCTGAACTTTTATAGATGTCTTCACCGATTACTATTGTACAGCTTTTGTAGCAAAACATGAGTCTTTGAAAGAAGGTTTAGTCTTCGTCAACGCTAATTTCTAGCGGTTGATTGCAAAACACTTCAATACAAAAGTGAACATTGGCATATCACCATCATTAGCATAGGCCAGGTGCAACGGTCATGCTGGTTGTCATTGGAAATCTATCAGTAAGGATGTGAGTATCAAATTCAAGACAATAAAAATTGGAGGAAAGTACGAAGTCATGCATATGGTCAAGCAGCTGAGCAAAAAATGAACAATTATGAACAATCTTAACAGCGAAGCTCTAGTCATATTGAAACTTTTTTATGATGCTTTTCATATTATGTAGAACAGGAAACGTCCATGTTAATGATAACGACCGCCCTTAAAGTCGCAAATGTAGAACTCTCGATTAGAGTCTTAACAAGATTTCAGATTTCTAGTTTCACTTTTAAAGCTTGCCAAACCAAAACGGATACAAAATGTTTTAAAATCTGAAAAACATTTGTGTTATCACCACTAAATGATGCAGCTGCTTGTTGGTATCGGATGAACAATTGGCATGGTAACAGCAAGTGGTCTTGAAAACAAATTACTTTTCCGTGTTAAAATTCTTTTGACGTAACAACTTTTTATTTTATATTTCTAGTTTACACTACCAAAGAAAGAAAAGCCAAATGCAATTCACCGCGAAACAAACAAATGGTAAACAAAAACCTTTCGATCCCTTCTTGTCTCAAAACACAAAAAAACACAAAGTTTTGTGCCCTTAATCTATTCACAACAAATGGGTTACCTTGATTTGTGCCATTTTTGGCTGCAATGCTTGTTAGAAAACAGGTGCAAGAATTTACACTCTTTATGCTGTGTCAAATAAAGGTAGCAATGTTCTACTTCGACTTTCACTACGAAACCACATTTTTAAAAAGCATAGGTTCTATTTAACGTCTGTCGTGTGCTCAGTGCATAGATATGTGACAAAACCATACTTCATTCTTTAAATAAGGTATGAGAAAAATTGAAATTTCAAATGCACCTTGAATGCAATAACTATTTTAGTGATAGCAGTGTTATCTTATCTGTGTTTTAATGTCACATAAAAGTTTAGTGGCATTGCAGACTCATGATTGAGCATGTATTCAGTGCAAGGGGGTGCTTTATCGAAGTTGGAGAGTCCTTGAAACTCACAATTTGTCTAGGAAAATTTTAGAACACTTCCCAAAGGAAAATAGATTTGTGCCATTGCCAAACAGTACATCATTAACAAAATATAATAAGTAAGATTGTTCCTAAGACAGGTCCTTGTTACTCAGCTGCTCAAACAAAAAACAGAAGCAGTAGGATGCGCGTGACAGCGTTTCAGCACGCGGACATGTGCCCAGAACTGGCAACGGAAGCAACACAAAACAGGTCCGTCGAAAGACGATGATAATTTTAATCATTTCCAAAATTGTCTCAAATTTCCATTGTGGTTAGATTTTACCATAAATTGCGAAGTATTAACTTCTTTCATTTGAAACGGATTGAAACGGACTTCTTTTAAAGACGCCAGAAAACTGAAATAATTTTAATTTCCACAAGGATCTCAATTTTTAGTTATTAATTGCTTCTTTTGCTTGGGAATTCTTTTCGCAAAATCTGAAGTAACGTTGATTTTAATTACAGCAATCCACACTTGTTATGTATGGCATGCACATGTTTTGATAATTTGTGAGTATCATGGGTTTTTAACAAAGTTTGGTCAACAAAGTTT